TGGGTGTACAGAATATTTAAATAAATGTCACAGCTAAGATTAATCAGACTGGAAAATTGCAGGATGACTGCTACTTGAGCACATTCTTGGACTAATGGAGTTCAGTTTCCAGCAACATCTTCTAAAAGGATTTTACCACTCGTCTAATGTGGGTTCAATTAATCAGGCTGCACAAAGGAATATTGGAGATAGGATAGGACTGAATTAAGCCTTTAATTAACTTAAATCTTATATCTTAAAGGGTAACCACTGTTTTTACACATGAAAGTCTCAAAGAGGAAGTTGCATGGAATCTGATTAGTTTTCCCCAAGTGATGTCACTTGAGTCAGCATTTATTGGGTCTGAAGACTACGTCTGAAAATGAAAATGATCTGTATGAGTTGAGTAAGAAAGAAGTGAGTTTACCAGACTCTGTAGCTCGCTGCCCACGCATGATTCTTCATATACTGTATGAGTGTATCTCGTATATTTGAGAAGTTGATATTGTGGTTTGACTTATACCCAACCTTCAGCCGCTTTTCACTTCCCCCAGTGCCCCGGCATTTCTAAGGAACTTCCCAGACCTGTCCCGCCGCTCCACACCTCATCTGTCAACATACCCGCCCTTCATCTTCCCCAATTAACCACCATATTTACACCTGCCAAAAACATTTACTCTTTGACTCGTCATAGCTAGAAAAACTCAAGTGAAACAAACTTTGTTAATGTCGGCTCGGTTCTATCAAGTGTTAGTCCAAGTAAGTAAAGTACCAGACCCTGAAACCTGCTCACCTGAATGCAATGCAGTTGCTTTGTAATGTTATCAGTAACACCTTTGCTTCTCCTGCTATGACAAGCCAGAGGGTCTTTTGTGAAAAAGGACTATTACTCCAGCTCTGTGCCAGTGTTTGACAGTGTTTCCTATAGTCCCCATTACACGTGAGCCATTCTGCCTGACTGTTCGTGGTCTCCTGCTCTTGCTGGTCTTGATCCTGTTCTAGTCATCCTGTAATCTCCTACTTGTGTTTTGACCGGCTGCCTGTCCCTGACCTGCCAACCTGCCTTGCTATAATGGACTTGTTCTCCAGCTCTAACTGCCTTTATGTTGCTGAATTTTAACCTGTTCAACGGTCATCACTTCAGTACTTTCGTGTGTCTGCTGTACATTCAGAGGTTTTTACAAAAAAAAGTTGCATGAAACATACAATAAACAGTTTAGAAATCATGTTATAATCAAATATAAGAAAAGTGTGTGATATCTTGTCACACTGTATAGCCCACATGACAAATTACTCTCTTGGTTGTTTAGTCTGATGTTATGATGTTTTGGGAAAATGGACAATTATCAGTGTGTCACAGTGTATATGTATGTGCCTATGAATGCTTGCTCCTATGCATCTGTGTATGCATGTACTGTATATGAATAGATGTGTATGCATGTATATAAATGTTGTTCTATGCATAAATACTGTACCTTTGGACTATGTAGGTTGTTCCTAAATGTTCTAATGTTTGTATTGCGAGAAAGGTACTGTAGGCGTAATAAGCTCCGGCTTCAACCTACACCTTTTCAATCATTGCTATAGTCAATTTACTCATTATTTTGTGGGCTGTTTAAGCACCTGAGTGCATTACTGTTTTCAGACTATCACATTATCATATATATTATTTCACTGTGGTTTATACAACATACAACATACAGCATAATAAAACATAAAACCGTCACACCAGTTGAGACAAAGCAAATGTACAAATGGTGGCGCACTCTTCATAAAACAAACCAAGTTACAATTGGTTGACAAACTTTCCTTTCAAAGCAACTTTGAAAGTGATGTTCAATAACCAGATAGACCAGAGAATTTGCCTTTCTTATGAAATAGAGTTGTGCTACAGAAGCAAATAGTAAGAATATAGGCCTTTCTCTGTTTTTGCTTACGGTAATGTGAGTGTGTTTCAGTACCACACGAACACTGCAGTTCTGTACAGTCATATGTCATATGTGTCAAAAACAGCAGAGGCATAAATCCTCTCCCCTGCTGTTAGTGTTCGAGTAGATGGCTCCAACCGAGAAAGACAGCCCGTTCTCCTGCTATCTACCCCCACACACACATACAGTACACACACACACACGTGCACACACACATACACACACACACACACACACACACACACACACACACACACACACACACACACACGCACACACACACACACACACACACACACACACACACACACACACACACACACACACACACACACACACACACACACACACATACACACACAAAAAACAGACAGAAATACAACCAGAAAATCACAAATCACTGCTGTGGATTTGTAAGCTAATAGCTCTAGGAAACCCTCCACACGCTCGAGTTATTCCCCATAAGCTTCATATTTGCCTCTTCATCAGGGAGACTTTCCTCCATCATCCTTTAAATACACAGAGCTTTCATTCAGCTTGTTTTATTGTCCCTTAAGACCTTGACACATTTTGTTTTACACAACACAGGTGAGAGCAGAGGACTGTGTGTGCTGTAGTCTATTTGTCCTGGTCTTTGAGCATTTTTGAGTCTGGTGGGTGGTTTAAACTGTCTCCAACTGATTTTCTTGGTTCATTCTGTTATAAAGGCTGTCTAAGTGGGCAGTCAGCAGGAGAAGCTCTCAGGTCCCGGTGACTCACCTGACAGCCTCTGTGGATCACTCTCCTTGTCAAAGCCCACTCACAGCCGTCTAAAGTGGCCTCGTTTCCACTGCCTGTCTCATATGAATGTGCAGATTATGCAATTTAAGAGCTCTTCATCACTGTGCTGTAGACGCTGAATGCAGCAGACAGCACGGCTTTATGTTTCTTTTTCACTGGCAGAATAAGAACAGAGCACATCCAACAAAAGATAATCTGGCATTATTGAGATTTGCATCTGGATTTAGGAGGACACAAGCTGAAATGACAATGCCGATTAGTTTTTGTTACCAGTAGTTACAGTCTGATTTGAGGGACACAATACTGCTGCATTTTTGGCATCTTAAACTCTTCATCTTCAACTGCAACTTTCTAATAATAAGATTAAGAAAAGTGATATATGAATTAATAAAATTAAATATCTGTTCAAGAATTCCCTCAATTCTTGTTCACAAATTTTAGATATTGCAACAGTGGCATTAGCACATATGATCAAAAGCTAATTGTCTATCATCAAACTTTTTGGCTTGTGACTCCTTAAAATAAAGCCATTTCCGGTGGAGGAATTTAAACTAACTATTCAAGTATTTAGGCATATGTACTTAAGTATTAAAATTGTATGCTTATACTCCTTTCAGAGGCAAATATTGTACTTTTTCCTCCACTACATTTTTCAACAGCTATAATTACTTATTAAGATTAAAATTTTCATCCAAAAACATTGAATTTTAGTTTATACATTAAACATTAAACTACCCAACGTTACATAAACTAGTAGGAATAGCTCCACCTGAACCAGACGTGACATTAAAATGCTGCTTATGTGATAGTGTAAGAAATAATAATATGATCATATATATAATATACACTAGAATATTGAATGGGGCCATTGTGTTTTTTTCTGATAATACAGTTAAATTTGAGTTGTTGTATTTACAGTAGGCAGAACTGTACTGCACTGAAGTACTTTTCGTTTACTTGAGTATTACCACTTTCCAGTACTTTATACTTCTAATTCATTAAGTTTAAGGGGGAAATATTGTACTTTTTACTCAATTTTCTTCTACAGCTATAGTTACCAGTTAATTTTTTTTTTTTTTTCATACAACACATACTGCACGATGAGCCATCAAATAAAACAACTTGTTAAAGATTTAACCGGTTTTCCCACCTGTTTGTCCTGACCGTTTGGAGCAGCCCGACTCCTCGGGTGGGAAACACTGGACTAAACTACCAGACTGTATATACAGTAGCTAAAACTAGCTCCACCTTGACCAGCCACAGCAGAAGCACACTTCTTACAAACATGGTCCACATATTAACACTGAATTTTGAATGCAGAACTTTTACTTATAATAGAGTACTTTTACATCTGTAAAATGTCTGAATACTTCTTCCAACACGGTGCATTTATCTATGACTCAAGCAGTTCAACCAAAATTAATTGCTCCCTCTGATTGTTTTTAATTATCAAAGGCCTGAAGAGAAAAAAATGAAATGTTTATGTAGTAGAATTTTTTTTCTCCCTTGATTATCTCAGTCTCTCAGGTTTAACCTCCAAGTTGGGAACAACTGGTCTCTCCTTCCCACTGCGCAGTTAATCGGTTCAGTGAGTTGAGAGTTCGGTTGTAAAGACTATCTGGCGTCACCTAGTGACAGAAAGAGGAATTATATAATTTACAATTTCTCCAAGGCCAATTTCATGAGGAGTTTATCACAGGAATCGGTCTTCTTTGGTCTTACCACATTTTATTGCCAAAAAGCTAAAAATTGATTTTTTTTCATTTATTTTTTTGTTTTATTTTTTGTGTACATATTAAGTGCTAAGCAAACATGAAGTCAGAAAATACAGCATGTACCACTGGCAAAGTTACACAACACACATGGATCCTTAACCCAGTGCAAAAACAAAGTACTTGAAGACACCTGCTCAATAAATGATAACAGTGCACAGTATAAAATATGCAAATATTATACTTTCGATAAATGCATCGGCAAAAACTGACAAACATAACAAAATGAAATGGCATCAAACAACAAATGGTAGCTGTCTCTGTAGTTTCACTCATGCAGGATAAACTCCTGCACTGGCAGCTTACTAATAACAACACACAGACAGAACATCAGAATTCAGATAATTTAAAACTGATGATACAGTTTATGCTCAAAAAGTGTTTTCTCACACCAGAGCTGTTATTTTCCCACAACTCTGACTGTCTACACATTCCTGATCACGTCTGTACACCCCTATTGTATAGACAGATATGCACATACAGCGTACGCACGCACGCGCACGCACGCACGCGCACGCGCACACACACACACACACACACACACACACACACACACACACATACACACTCTCTTGATTCCAAGGGATCATGAGGCACTACGTATATCTCTTGCAATCCAGTCTTCCCAGCAGTCTGAGGTCTTGCTGGTTCAGTGTACCTGCATGACACTGTGTTAAGTCTAGGTGTAGTAGATGATCTCTGGGATCTGTCCATCCTCCACAGATGTACCATTGTTATTTCCAGGTGAGCTGAAAAACAAAAACGTTGTCTTGGTCCCCGTTGCTGATTCCTGGGTCACTTTCTTCAACCCCTTTGTGCCATAATGTGAGTCTGAGCCCTGAGTTGTGAAATTTAAAAAAAGAGGTGCTAGGTTATTCCTTCTCATGGGTAAAACAGATCATTTTCATTCATCTGATTTAGGACATTTTTTTGAAACACAGTAACAAACTGACCTTTAAGGTGGCGCATGCAGTGTAGCTGACATTGGGCAGGATTTCCACAGGCTCTTTGAACATCACTCTGAATGTGTTTGCTGTGCCGTCACAGCTGAAGCCTGTGTCGTTCTGGCCCAGTGTAATGCGTTTGTCACTCTCTATGATCTACAGAATGAGAAGGTGCAAAGGAAAAATCAACTTCACAACAACTTTAAATTGTTTAAACACATTCTCTAGTTCATTCATTTTAGTGTTTTCTTGAGCATTTATTTTGAAATGTATGACAGTTAAAATGACAATTAACCAGTGACAGGGAGGGATGACATGCAGTAAAGGTCCCGGGCCAGTGTCTGACCAAGCACAAACTACCGTCATGCATAGTGCCTTGTACAAGTTGAATTCTAAGTTTTATTTTATGTAACTGTCAGTTTTTGACAACTGACAGTAACATGGATGGCATGGGTTTACCTGCATAGTGAAAAATAAGCAAGTTAACAAATTTGAACAGTTTCAGGAGCAGCCTTTAGCTCTTCCCCAGCAACCACATTAAAGTTTGGTAGTATATTTTCAGGCTAAAAAACAATAAATGTCAGGGTTTGATGTCTGGAACTCTCACTTAACACTGAGTCACTGAACAGGTTTAGTGAATAAATCATGATGTACATGAAACATGTGACTAAAAGTCCACTGAAGAGATAGAAATAGCAGCAGATGAAAACATCAGATCTGTGTGGGGCGATGAGGAGACTGTAGCATTGCTCAAATGATCACAAGAAACAAACATAAATGCCACATTTCCTTAGTGTTTTTTCACCATTTAAGGTTTTACTGGCACTTTTTTTTTTTTTTTGCATCATCTTGTTCCACCCTCTTCTACTCCAATGGTTTAAGGGCACCCAACTGGAGAATTAGTGCAACGAGCTGTTTGTGTTGATGAGCCAGCTCTTTATATTTGCATAACAGTTGTAGTTTAAAACACGAAGTAATTCGCATTTTCTTCTGCTGATTTTCTCACAATTCAATGTGCAATACATATATTTTTTTTTATTATTAATGATACCCAGACCCACCAAAAATTGTAAATCACTCTTTCCATCACAAACACACTGATGATATTAGCAGTGTAAGAGTTTTTGCTTCCATCATCATTATGTCACATTATGTTACCTGTATGTTGACCTGATAGTCAGTGGGTCCATGTATTGAACCATACAAGCCAAAACCCACTATGGATATTCTTTTGTTGACATTGAATCTTCAGAGGGAGAAAGAAAGAGAGAGAAAAAATTAGAAAAAATATGTAAGACAGATTAATAACCGCCCACCGATGTCCATCATCTCACCTGATTCTGTCGCTGGTACCACTGTACCCCCATCGACTCTCAACCTGCTGGAATCTATTAATGCTGCACTCCTCCCCCCTGAGACAGCAGCGGGGCCTGTCAATGTAGTCGACCCGTGGTTTGGGGTTTACTGTAAAGTGTAAAAACAGATTTACCACCTCCCGATCGAACAATATTCCAGACTGGGCAGGCCCTGTTGCACAAGAAAAAATATCAAACTGGTTTCTGTGGGTTGAGTTGTATGGACACATCAGGAACATGATGAATATGTTAAATAATGACTGAGTTGGTCAGTGTGGTGTTGAAAAACCAATGCAGCATGAGAAACAAGTTTTATTTCTGTGATATGCTTACCTGCAGCAAACTCCTCAACAGTCATGAGTGGAAAGCGGATGAGCGGGAGGGCTTTCCCCAGAACCTTCTGCTTGTTCTCTGAGGTCAGGGGAAGCTGTTGTCTGTAACACTCGGCCTCTGCCCAGCGTACCACCGCCCCAAACAGACGGTTCTCCCTGATGCTGAGCGTGTCTCTTTCTAGCACTGCACATAAGGTGTCTACGCATACAAATACACAGAATATTCATCATTTCACATCCAGTCAATCTGCAGAAAATGAAATATGAGGTGGGTAAAAATCACATACCGAGGTCAATATCTGTGAAGCCCTCTGCGTTTATTGCGTCTGCAGTGCTTTTATCTATGGTGTCTAAGCAGAGACTGGCAAGTTGAGGCTCATCAAATAACCTCGCCTATAATAAAAGCACAAAAAAAGCCAGATAAATATCTGTTAGTGAGTTCCGGTCATTTACTTCATGTGTACCAAAGGAGAACTGCTGCATTTTAAAAAAAGGTATGAGAAAAGTAAAGGCCTTCTTTATTTACTAAATTTGTGTCAGATTAAACCAAGATGTTTGGTGAATTAAAATGTTAATTTTAATGAAAACACTGTAAGCTGATTTTTCCACATCTTGTATTCTGACATCAACTAATTTGGGGTTTTGGCAAAAATATCCTTCAAACGCCATAAAATGTTAATGAAATTAAAATGAGTAGACAAGCAATGACACTGTTAATTAAAAGTACATTGCTGGGAATGTGTCTTTTGATTTAGGTGGTTTATAGATGACTATTCTTTGTGTTGCCATGCCGGGTAAGAAAAAAGGGGTGATTTTTGATCAGAAAGCAACTGAATGTGCACCCTGAAGGCAGGAGGCACCACTACAAAATCCTGAACCCAAACAAACAACAGCATAAACCAAAAATAGAATGGATAATGTCATAAAAACTCAACAATTGACGGCTGTAAAAATGCTCTCATGTGGACACAAGGAAAGAAAACGGCTTCATTCTGCATTATAAGGGCTACTGTCAGCCAATTTGTAACAGATGGAAAGAACAATTCAAAATTTTTATCAAATTATTATATATTGCCCAGAAAACACCTTTAAAAATCAGATAAACCTTTATTGAACCCTTCTATTCCTGCCCTGATTTAAAATTTCTCTTAGGTGCCTTATGTCTTATAGGATGAGTTCACCTAAAATACTATGAATATATTAAATATATACAGTAGTGTCAAGTGCAAACGATACAGTAAATGTGACAATAACCTGAGTAAGCAGCATGAATGCATTGTCGGCTCTGAGGTGCTTGGTGAGGAACTCCACACAGTGACCTTCCAGAGCAGGGACAGCATACTTCTTAGCCGTATACAGAGTCGTCATCACAGTCTCTGGACCAATGTGGATCTCGTCAGAATACAGGAACCTGTAAAGAAAAAAAAGACAGGTGTTCATGTTGTTATCTGCAGTTCAGAAAAGTTTAGTCATGGCATTTTAAGTCCAAGTGTCTCCGTTTTTGGTTTAGGAGTTTTCACCCATTCCCCTACATCAGTACTCAGTAACTTCTCCTTTGCCAACTGTTAAATATGCAAACAACTGCATATTATGATTTAATACCTGATGATTATACCAATTGTTGTAAATTTATTATTAGATATCTAACTTAATATCTAAACTTAATGTTAGATAGAATAATTTAACTGTTGAAGGCAAGCCTCTTCGCATACACCAGGGGTTGTGCTTTGCATACAAAACATTTACAGAATGTCAATAATGATTTGAGGGTTATACTATTAAAAATTACCCAGAGTTACAGTAATGATGTTCCTATTAAGTTATTCCCAGGGTGCGGTGCAATAACTATATTACATTCTCCTTCAAATGTGATTGAGGCTAGAGGTTGCTGCAGGTTTATATAAACTACTGGCTCGGTGGACTTGAACTTGTCCAGTGCACGGTGATAACCTGTCCTACCTGAGCAGGGCGAGAAAGGCAGCCGGCTCCACATCAGGCAGCTCTATTTCAGCCGAAGTGGTGGCCATTCCTCCGTTGAACATAGCATCAAAAACGGCACTGCCAGCGGCCAGGACGAATTTATGGGCTGGTATCCTCTGGGCCTGCCTGCCTTTCCCCACTATGAACCTGACGTCGCTGAGCAGTTCGTTGTTGAAGAGGAAGGCGAAGCGCTCCTTCAGGGAGCTCTTCGTCGCCTGCCAGTTGTACATTGGCTCCCGGTGAAGGCCGAGGACAGGCGGGGAGGCTGACGGTGCAGGACCGGAGGCTGGCACGCTGGAGATCGCTGCTGCGGCTCCAGACTGAGCCGAATTGGATGCTGCCTCCTGACCGTCATGGTTTGACGCCAAGCCGCCGCTGATGCTGCCGCCGCTCCCGGTCGCCATAACACTCTTCTATTTTTCTTAATTCTGCTTCCACAATGTACCGCTAATGACACACGAACATACACCGACCGTACCGTGTGTGTTGTTGTTTATTTACGTGGTATCCATCGCCGCAGACGCCATCGCTCCTGGGTAGCAGCTACCTGCTAGCCTGCGTCTCTCCAGAAATGACGCAGACGTACACTTCCTGGAAAACACTTTTTTTCCCATTAATCTTTATTGCTATATTCAAAGGCGACAACCGAACAAGTAAATACATAAAACGGAAATAAAAGATAAACAATCTAAGTAAATATTTGATTGTTCCACGAATATTAAATTATTTGACTATCTAATTTAATATAAAGCTAAGGTTGCTATAAGAATTAAATTTATGTGGAAAAAAATAGCTTTAGTTAATATTGACTTCTCAAACAAAGACTTTTTACATTGAAAACACACACACAGCTTATAAAATATAATGTTTTCTTATAAACTACCCCACATTAAATACGAATACAGCTGAAACAATTGGTCGATTAATCGGCTAATAATTGACATAAAATTAATTGGAAATTATTTTGATAATTGTTTACATCATTTTCAAAGCAAATGTCAAACATTTCATGGTTCCAGCTTCACAGATTATAAACATAAAATATATATATTAAATTTGTATATACCATTTGTTTTGTGTTTCATATTGCCAATATTGCCTTGTAAAATGCATATTATTTGATTGTTATTCATTTTTAAAAACATAAAGCTGCCTGCTTTACGTTTTCCAATTGACTCCTAGATGTCAGTGTCTGCACTTTCACTTGAAGAAACCTTGACAGCCTATTTATAGATGATAATAATGAAATAAAACTAAACTTATTGTTATTATTCAGCTAAGCAGTGTAATATGAGGTAGTTGCTATTACCATAGGCGGAACGAGGGGGGCGGCTTATGGGGCTTATGGGGCTATATGAAGTTTATTTATATCTTTAACTTGGTGTCATTTCATCTCAGTCTCTCTGACTGAACCCGATCCATGGAGCCTTATTATTAGCCTACTGTACTGGGGAAATAGCCATTTATATTATGATTTATTTTTGGTTAGCTGGGCGAGCCATGGGGAAAAATGAGTGAGAGAGTGTATAGACAGGACAGGACAACCTGTGGACCATAATTGGTATTTTCTACATGTAGGCTATACTCAGTTGGCAGTTATCTTCATTTGTCCTGTACGGTCACTGGAACAGCCAACTCATCTCTTACAGCTGGTAATAGTAAGGAATATGTCATATTGCACAATATATACTAAATAAGTAAAAGAAAGGTTATGAGGTCCATGTATTTATCATTTGACACAGGGTTGTATAACAAGATGAGACTTAAACATCACAAGTTATAGCCTATCACACTGAAGGCTACTGTGTACGCAGACGGTCACAGACTAGAGCAGCTCCGGTTAGCGAGCGAAGCTGTGTGTCCCACGACAGCAGACATCACAATCCTCTACGTTGAAGTTTCAAAAACACTGAACAAGTGAGAGAAAGAAGCCATCACTAACCGCTAAGCTAACGTAACTAGCAGATGAATACCATATGTACGTGTAAATCAGATGAGACATCCCACACTGTTTCTACGGATCAGATGCTGCTGTGATGCAAAAAAAAAGCTAGCCGGCTAGCCAATATTACGAACAACCTTAAGACAGGAAATGCAACTGCTCACGTCTCAGACCCATGACAAACTGTTAACTAACATGTTGTTTACAGAGAGTTTTAACAGAAATACTGGAAATGTGGTTTAATTGAAGCTATTGTAAGATGATGCAGGCTGCTGTTAACACTGCTTACCTTGTATCATGAGAGAAGAAAACATCGAAAACAGAACAACCAAGATGGCGCCCCGCACGGAACACACCTCAAAACTAGGTGTCCCACAGCAGTCAAACAACAACAAAACCGGGATTCACCTGGGAATAAACATCGCAACTGCGACACACAGTGGCTTATTTAGGCTACTGCCCTACACATGCATAACTGTATGTATAGGTCTGCATGGATGTACAGTACATGCCATCCATGATAGTATGCACGTATGTGCAAGTGCTTAGTACCAGTATATTTGTATGTGCAAGTGAAGTATTCAGTTTTGGCCTAGCAGCTTCTCATAGAATTGACTAAAACTGAGTGACATACATTGATATTGTGGATAATAGCAAACCGTGAAATAGATTTATTGAGCACAGAATAGAGTTTAGTTTGCTCAGGTAACAGTATTTTTTGCTCAAAAATATTTTTTCCTCAAAATATAATTTGTGTATTTGCAAAATGTATATGTCTGAGATCCGGTTGAAGTGCGGTCCGCCTGGTTTCCGGGGGCCAACAACCCACAACCAGGGCTGAAGCACACAACACGTGATGGGTGGCCATTACTGTTCTGGCGGTAGGCCTAAACAGCATTTTTTAATTTCCTGCTATTTTCCCCACGCCAGCCCTTCCCTTAGATGCAAGATAGAATCAGATTACATAACATGCTGTTTTATTAAGACACATTTACACAACACAAGTAGGCTATACTCACATTCTCATGGACACACAGTAAACCAGCATGAAGTCCACAAGCAGCAGGAAAAAGTCAATAAACTGTGTGATAAGTGAAAGTTAAACTGCAAGTATAAGTCCAACAGCAGCTGTGCACGAAGTTCAAGTTACTAATAAATAATAATCACAATGTTCATAAACATACAGTTCATCATTTGAAAGCAATTTTGACTAAATGAAAGGCTTAAATGTCACATATGTTACTCCTGGGCCTAATGACAGTCTGAATTATCTGTCCTAAAGCTAGACATCAGGGAGAATCCATAGATTAACACAAGGGGCACTGACTTTGTGAAGAATCAACACGGACAAATAAAAATGTGGAATTGGATTAGGCTACTCTTTTTCATTGAGTCTTGGCTACTGAAGTTAAATAGCTGGAATGACTTTGAGCCTCTAAATTCCCCCACCCCATAATCTACAGTAGCTGTGTAGAGTACCCCCTAACAGGTCTCATCCAGATTCTGAATTGGATATAAAGCTTAAAATTGGAAACACTAATTTTAGTGTAAGAAATTACACAAATAAACCCCTATTGGGGACTAATGAGATAATCATGTAAACTTGAAAATGAAAATGTAATTCCATGATAGTAATGTAATTTTTCACATGTGTTCTAGGATTACACTGGACTTTACTTGATGAATATGAGCAAAGCAGCAGAAGCAGTCAGCAGGACATTTCCAGGGATGGATGAGTGAAGAAGAAGAAAAGAGGAGAGAATGTGAACTAAGTGATCCAGAGTAGATAAAATAAAATACTGTCAGTTAATATTACAGTACATGTCCATATTGTTTATCCAATGATGCTATTCTTTAAAGTAATTTAATATCATTAGAGTAAATGTTCTTCTTTTGGCCTAATATTCAGTTCAGAGTCGTGAAATTCATTCTCCACCTATGTCATGTAAATTCAAAATAGTAACATCAGACAATTTTTGCTGCTTTTTATGTGACAGTAGTAAAAATTTAACGGTTAATAGGTTGTTAATACTTAATAACTCACTTACAAGCCAAAGTTATAACTTTTAGGTTTCCAGGTTGTGGAAAACACTTCACATGACACTTTACTAACACTTGAATTGGGAGACCCTTCCAAGCCACCCACACTGCAGTTATAAATGTTAGTGAATCATTAAACAAAGGGTAATAATTTCTCAATTTATAATAAGTCATAAGCAAAAGTTAATCAGTAACCTATAAATCTTAATAAACCACCAAGAAAGAATTCTACAATAATCCATCAAGTCTGTAGATGTTTATAAGCAGTTTATAAATAGATTTTGGTAAAACAATCCATTGGAGGGGCCTTCCTAATGAATTAAATCACTAACTAAAAAGACAAAAGTGTCATACTGGAAGAGGATTTTCCACAACCTGGCACCCAGAAAAAGTTGTTCTTATTAATGGCTTATAAATGATCTGTTAAGTATCAGTAAATTATTTATTAACCATTAATAGAGCTACTAATCATATCTGTGCCTTATCATAAAGTTGCTCAATCTTATGACACTTTTTCAATAAACTTCATTACCATTAATGCTCTATCAGTTTTGGGGTCTAACAAAGCCAAGTTGCAACTCATTTATTTACAAAAATTACTTCTTCTTTTTTTTTTATTATAAATAATTAAATGAGTGGCAACATGATGACTTTATGAATTACTTATAAGGCCAGTTTAACATTTGATCGTGTGGTCATTGTAAACTTGCCACCGTACGAACAGTGGTTACATAACCTTAGATTAGAAAATTAGAAATTTAGCGTCATATGTGCTATTTTTTAGGTACTTAAACAAATAGTACTCAGTACTACAACCCTGACTCCCGAATAAAGGGAAGTGAAAACGACCAAACTTTCAGCCACAAGAAACCATAGCTGCATGCTGGGAATAACGTAACGGATAACGGAATCTTTAAGCCAATCAGATCCAACTGCTGTGGCTTGTCCAGCCAATCACGGCACCCCTCTCTTAATCGTTGCCTCACCAGCAAACACCAACCGCTAGCTACTTTAGCATCAGGAGGAGAAGCTAACCCACGGAAACACAGACGCATCTGTTCACCCTCTTTTGCTTATGTGTGTTCGTTTGATTTTTACTGAAGTGACCAGTCGTCTGAGTGACTGAATCGAAAGCCCGGTGTAAGGTAAAGAGTCGTGTTTACTTCTCGTATCTGCTGTAGCTAGCTAAGCGTCGCAGGAGGGGGCGCAAATTACACATAACGTGTTGTTGATGTTAATATGTGGGCATTTAGCAAGGTTAGCTAACATAAGCTAATGAAATGAAACTTTGTACAATAGCCTACTGTATGTAAAATTTACCAAATGTAAAATACATTTGATCACATGGCTAAGTCGTATTATCCTCGAAAATAATGCATGTGTCCATGTGTTATGCGTCTCTTAATTGTTATTCCATTACATGTACGGAATGAACTTTCTTTTCATGGAAAAATAATGTTCATCATAAATGTCACATGATTGCTGATAACTCACCCCCGAAACATTTCTTGCATCATCCTCACATTCGTTTGAAGTATTCCTCTTTTAAAACTTTGAAAGTTAGTGTTTATCACATCTCAATTATCAATAACTTTGAACTGAACTTCCTCCCTTAGATGCAGTTCATGCTGTTGTTCAGCCGGCAGGGAAAGCTGCGGTTACAGAAATGGTATGTGCCTCTGTCAGACAAGGAGAGGAAGAAGATCTCCAGAGACCTGGTCCAGACCATATTGGCCAGGAAACCCAAGATGTGCAGCTTCTTGGAGTGGAGGGACCTTAAGATTGTGTACAAGAGGTATGTGAACAAGAGAAGTTGAAGTATTGGGCTGTGATATCCTTGCAGTCCCTCAGTTTGTCTTTCCCAGGTGGCGGCTACAGTATTCTTTAGTGTTTATGCACCAACACACATACTTGGATGCACACAGACTCAATTGGCAGTTTATTAGGTACAACTAGTTAAAACTAATGCAGCCTCATTCAACAGTCCTGCAGTTAATCATACCTTCATGGAGGTTATGATCAGTTTGTGAAGGTTACGATCAGTTTTTGTTGAAACTGTGCTAAAGAAGTGTAGATTTAACTGAGGATGTTGACTGTGGTGCTCTTAAACTCCGCTATTATTTTACCCCATTAGAATCATATAAAACAGTATAATGCAATACAGTTCAGCAGCACCACAAATTGCAGCTTATTGTAGACAAAATGATCATAAAGTTGAAACAACAACCCTCTGACACAAAAAACAAAACTTTAACATCATCTTTCATGAACATGTGATTTATTTCAAGACTATTGTATTAGACTGGATTAGTTTTTAGCTAGGTGTTTGTAGTAAACTGACAAGGGATAGTATATACAGTAAACACATGTGCAAATCTCTGGTTGATTTCAGTGTTGTTACTCCACTCCTGTCACTTATTAACAGCAGCAGGCTTCACTTTGATCTTTTATATTAATAAATCCTGCAAAAATTGCCAACCAGATTTTTATCATGAGATACTGCAGCTAAAGTTCTCTACAGTAGTTTCGGGTACTAAATATAAAGTGTACATGCTTTCACAAATAATGCCATGAATGCTTTTTATTTATCAGTTAACTTCACACAAAGTGCAGTAAAACAAAAAACCTGAATCAAATCGATATTTGCTGTGACCACCCTTTGCTTTTAAAACGGTATCAGTTCTCCTTGGTACACTTGCACACAGTTTTTCAAGGTACTTGGCAGGTACGTTGTTCCAAGCATCTTGGAGAACTTGCAACAGTTCTGACATTTTTTGTCCTGTGATCCTAGACTGACTCCGAGATGTGGAGATCAGGGCTTTGCAGGGGCCAAATCATCTGTTACAGAACGTGTTCTTCTTGTTGCTGATGTTTGGGCTCTTTGTGATTCTGCAGAATGAATTTAGGATCAGTCAGACACCTCTTAAAACGTGTTGCATAATGGATAAGAATCTAAACATATGAATTGCCTGAATTGCTTGCACATTACTACACCTTTAACATGTATTAAAGTCAATTCCTGACTATGGAAACAGTAGTTTGATATTAGAGTAATCCAGGTCCATGTTTTCTTTTCATCTTCACCTCACATTGTGCAACTTACAATAGAGTTTGTTCAGTTGTCATGGAGATGGTTTAGTTGTCATAACATGATCTAAGTATAGAATTTGATGAAGACTGAGATGTGGTTGAAACCTGGAAAAAGATAGCAAGTAGACCATGAGTTTAGACTACTTTGTTAAACCTATAAACATTTGACAAACATTTCACTTTGTGGTAAATAATTCTTATGGCAAGCATTTCAGAGGAGGATCTTAGTAACAGGACATGCTAATGTTCGGTTTGTTACATCACTTCTGTATCTGTGGTGGTTTGTTGGTCTTGTTTATGAGAACCGATTATTCACTGATTATTTTGTCAAGCGCTGAGATTTCTGGCATTTATATCTCACCTTCTGGTGTGTTATGAAATCCAGAAACACCCACTCTCTAATAACAACTGCTGAGTAATGGAGGACAAAGATACAAATATCTAAAGAATGACTGATTTGTCATATTTGGACATATAACTACAGAGTCATGAAAATACAAAAGGTCCATCTTAATGTCTTCACTATAATAAACAAAAACAAACAGCAGAACAGCCAGGACACAGTGACACAGTGCTGGAAGAGGTGTTTTCTGGTCTCATGATGATATACACTGAGTCACTTGTTTATTTTGCACACATGTACAATCTAATGCAATACAATTTAATATCCCTGGAATAAATCCTATCTGTGTGAAGGTTACAATGTTCCAGTTTTGTATAGAGATGGATTTTTTTTTTAAACTTATGGTTTTATTGGTTTATTAATGCCAAAGTGCAAAATGATGTTGAATTTTTAGTGTCATTAAAAGGTTTTTCTTGTTACCTGGTGACAAACAAAAGAAGCACCAAATACTTGCACTTTCTTTAAAGACCAGGTCTCTGTACAGCCTTGTATCAGACATTTGCAGACCTGAATGTGAACAGTGATGACAAAATACAATCATATGTCACTAATATCAATCTGTTGCGTTCTTTATGTTGCAGATATGCAAGTCTGTATTTCTGCTGTGCAGTAGAGGATCAGGATAATGAGCTGATCACTCTGGAGATCATCCATAGATATGTGGAGCTACTGGACAAATATTTTGGCAGTGTGAGTTTCTTAAACATCAGACATGTAACATTCTTATTGTGTGTGTGTGTGTGTGTGTGTGTGTGTGTGTGTGTGTGTGTGTGTGTGTCGAGTCGATGTGAGGACAATTTACTGCAAGAATCCAAGGGTTTCAGTCAGGACAGTATTTCCTCTGATCTGATCTTTATGGACACAGGTGTGTGAGCTGGATATTATCTTCAACTTTGAAAAGGCCTACTTTATTCTGGATGAGTTCCTGCTGGGCGGAGAGGCACAGGAGACGTCCAAGAAGAACGTGCTGAAGGCCATCGAGCAGGCTGACCTGCTGCAGGAGGTAAGCACACTTCTTCAACAAATAGTTGAACCCAGCCGACAGACCAGCTAGTGTCAGGTGAACAGCACTTTGAGTAGAGTGGCAACTAATGATTATTTTAACTGTCAGTTAACTTGCGATGACTTTCTTGGTCTGTAAAATGGCATAAAATTTGGAAAAATGTCCATCAAAAGTTTCCAGTGCCAAAGATGATGCCTTTTAAATAACTTGTTTTGCTCGACCAACAGTCCAAATCCCAAAGATATTCACTTTACTGTCATTTAAGACAGAGAAAAACAGCAAATTTTGACATTTGAGAAGCTTAACTCGGTACATTTATGGCATATTTGCTTGAAAAATTATTTTAAGTAATTATTGCAGCTCTAACTAGGTGTAAATGTGGGATTAATTACACTTATTGACAATAATGTGAACCCAGATAGAAGATTAGATGAACTAAGAACTAAGATGTTGATGTTTTGCTCTTTTCACCTCATGACCATCTGCACCTGTTTATTTTAAGCCTGCAGCTCTTGATTAATACCCCCTCTCCCCTGTGCCAGTGCATTAAAGGAAGCGCTTCCCTGCATATTTGCATTGCTGTCTAGCTGTAGCCATTTGCAGTCGACAGAATCACTGCTCAGTGATTTATTTTTAGCAAAGCATGCAGCACTATTGTTACAACGGCATGGCCGACTATACAGGTTTGTAACAGCTTCGGCTCACTGGAGAGGGCTCCTGTTCCTGCCAGACATTTAGTAACTTGTAATTATGACTTGTGCTATTAATTATACTTTGGAGCAGTACAGAATGTGTGACTGATGAACAAACTGACAGTACGGATAACAGGGAACACTTGCTTTTCTTCATCTACAGGAGGCCGAGGCACCACGGAGCGTTTTAGAAGAAATTGGGCTGACATAAACCATCACGCCGCTGCCTCGCAGTTCTTTCTTCCAGATGTAGATCTGGCAATCTCCGTGTCTCTATCCTGTCTTCTCCTGTTCACTGTGTCAGTGTTGTATGTATATTATCACCATCTATGTACTGTACTATCCTGTAATGTCTTTTCAGTGTGGTGCCAACTGTGGTTTTAATGTGTCTCCTAATGTACAAGCTCCCTCACTGTATCCTGCAGCACTATTAGCATACTTCACTCCCCTAACTTCTTAAAAGAGAACAAACAGAACAATGTAGCGACGACATGAAAACTCCAGCATCATATTAAGATCATCCATCATCACTGAATGCAGAGTTGTATGTGCTTGTTTGGCTTCAAGGACTTTTTAAGGTGCTGTTGCAGCTGCAGTTGGTGCTTCTCGTGTGTAATCATTCGAGTCACAGAGCTAAGCATCTTCTTTCATGAAAGAATGAATACTCGGCGCACTTTGAAAAACCCAGAAGGTCGTTTAGCAAAACCTACAGTTGCTCTGGTTTTTCCACTTCCAATTCTCAAAAGACCAGGTGGAGAAGATATATATCCTTTTTGCTCTTTTTGCTAAACAGAAAAATATTACCGTATTATTTTATCTATAAATATAGAATACTGTAAAAACAATCAATATATAACAGTATAACTAATAATAAATATTCGAAGTTTGGTTCACGTACAAATTGAGCATGGAGCAAGAAGTTAAAAATCTGTAATGTGCAGTGGACAGAGTCTGAGAACTAGCAGGACGTGTTGCTAAATGGTCTGGGTTTTTAAAAGATGATCAAGAATTTTTTTTTTTCTTTCTGAGGATTTGATGCTTAACTCTATGACTCAAATGTAATGGTAATACATTACTGGGCACCAAATGGGGCTATTGCTATTGTAGGAATCACTGACACTCTTACAATCACTTCTACATGGGTACAATCAACCCACCAATTAAGTGAAATTAAACAGTTACCCATAATTAATATCAGTGTAAACATTCAGTAGGTTTGTACAAGTTTGTTTGGCGTTTCCTCTCCAGAAATGAACCTTTTACACATTTCCTTCTCAAGACTAAATGTTTATTTTTACTTAACAGCTGTTTCAGTGTAATTTGTGTCATGTTTGTTAAAGCTGTTTTTCTGTTGTCTTCATTTTTCTGACAACTGATTTATTTTTCTGCTCAAGGTGTTTGTTTATCATTCAAGTTTGTCATGGCCTCTGAGGATAAATCTTAGGTCAGTCTCTCCCTTAGTCTTAGGCAAGGATAGGACAGTGACCCAAATAAAAGAAATACTACTTCATGTATTATGATACTTTGGCTTACACTTAAAGATTAACCTACGACCAAAGAACACTGTGTTTTACCTTCTCAATGGTGTCTATGGAAGGCTAACATGGCAGAAAAGGGATTTGGGATGGAAGGAAGTTTGAGGAAAAAAATGTATGTGGGGGTTATTTGGCCACAATATATCAGTATTATGTAATTATTCCAATCCATGTAAAGACAGGTGTATCCTGAGTTTCTTTATGGAGTAGGAACATAGGAAGATGAACTGCACATATCAGGGTACATCATTAACATTCATCACGTCAGCTTGTTCACTTGTCAGTAAGATGCAAGTAAACAAGTCAACAAGCTACGAACAGATGCTCATTCCAAATTGTATGGCAGTCTAATTTTTTTTATCTGCACTCTTTAAACCACAAGGTGTTTTTGTTGAACATCGATCAGCAAATATTAAAGTTCATCTTTGATTTGTGCAAAAGAAATCACTTACTTTTGTATTAAACACTGCCAACACATTTGCCAACATTTTTTTTCTTATATTTGAAAGTTATTAACAATAAATGTATTCAAAAAGAAAAGCCATGTGTTGATCTTTTGTTTTATAATGTTTTTACTCAGTGCCACAGGTCCAGTTCAAAACACCATTTTTACAAAGCAAAATATTCACATCTGTACATACTGGTGATAGGTGCTGCAGGAGGAGTTCACAGGAGGAAAAACAGACTAAAATGATCAAAATAAAGAAGCCACTAAGATGTAATCATGTCACTGTTTCCAGCAGACTCATTGATATTTCATTGTTAGACTGTTCACTTTTACTTTCAGGACTAAACTTGTTCTCTATGTCAGCACTCTTATGTATGTTACTGATTTTGGGAACCAACTCTGTTTCATTTCTCTCTTCGCTGGGACTGGTTACAGAATGGTTCTCTGTCTCTGACTCTTTCTCCTTTTCTGACTCTCCTGATGAAGTCGTCCCTTCGGGCAAATGGCTTTTCTTCTTATGCTTCTTCTTGCTCTTTTTCTTGCTCTTTTTGGAGTGTTTGTGGCGGCGGTGTGTGTTGGTATCATCATTTGGTGTTTTCTTACGTCGGTCTGGTTTCTTGGGGCTCTTTTCTCTACTGTCTCCGTCTCTTTTCCTCTCTGTGCTTGTGCTTCTTGACCTTTCTCTTGCTTCTCTGTGGGTGTCTTCATCTTTGTCTCTATTGTCTCTCTCTTCACTTATATTCCTATACTTGTGCTCCCTGTCTTCATCTCTACTCCTGTTTCTAAGCCTGTCTTGCTCTCTGTCTCTACTTCTACTCCTTGACCTGTCTCTACTTCTGCTCTGATACCTATCTTTCCTCCTGTCACTGTGTCTGGACCTGGACGACCATTTGTCCCCTTTATCCTGGTGGGAGACCCTCCTCTCTCGACTCCTGCTCCTCCGCCTGTTGTCCTCTCTTCTGCTGAGGGATCTCTCTGACCTTAGTGGGCTTCTGCTGCAGTGACGCTGCCTCCACGATCTGTCTCTGTATCGCTCTGAATACCACCCGTCTCTGCGACTCCCCCTGACGCTGCGGTCTGGTGACATGTGCAGGTCCCTGTCAGCTTCCCAGAATTCATTGCCAGGGTTTCGAAATACATGCAGGAAGTTACAGTGCTTCCCTTTGGGGCATTTCTGTCTGTCAAACAATCCTGAGAGAGGAAAAACCGACACAAGCAAGACAGTAAATGCACAAAACTGAATCTTGTATCTCTGCAGTAATGTCACCAAATGAAACTGCTCTTGGAAAAATGCCTTTGTCATGTATGTATGATTAAGTTACTCACCACATATGGCATTCTTCCACCGTGTAACAGGACATATCTCACAATGAAGCTGCCGGCTTGCATACCACCTCCCATTGAACTTGATGAAGGCCTCCTTACACTGCTCCTCTCTGGACAGACAACACATAGTCAGAGTTTTATCCAAGAATTCAAACAATGTACAGATTATTTATTAGGGAAAAGTCATAGAGGGACAGTGTGACAACTTACGTATCAAACTGAATGTAAACATTTCCTCTCAGGTGTGGTTCATAATTGCAGCTGACCTAAAAAAAAAAAGAGACTAGATGTGTATTTTTTGTGGTAATAATTTGACCATTCATAAAGTGAGTGTTACCCTTTCCGAGGCTTGTTTTTTTTTGATGTCACATTCCTGACATCAGTAAGAGATCTAGTGACACACCATGAAGACTATTTATAGTTATTACAGTTCTGAATTTGTCTTCCAACTTAATGATGATTTTTCACAATCATTTGATTTCATTTATTCCTACTTTATACTGAAATGCAAATGAGCAAATAAGTGAATGGTGAAATGTTTTAAGACGTATATGACATTGAGTACATTTATGCACATTATGTTATTTAGCTGGTGAATTTGGGTGTTCCAATCTCCTATTATTTCCACGGATACCACATTTCTCATATACATAGAAGATGACATAAAGAAATTGGATAGCTCCAGAAAACTGACTGTAATCAGATTGTACTGATAACGACCTTACCTTGAACTGAACGACTTTGCCGACACTCTTGAACTCTGGCAAGGCATCATGGTAGAACTCGAGGAAAGACTCCTGTAGGTCATCCTCGCTGTGCTCCAAACAGGCATCTATGTCGTAATCATCACGCCGTGACTCCTCCAAGCCAAACGTCGTAAACATACCACGGATCATCAGGGTCGGGCTTGTTGTGGGATAAATGTGCTTCCGAGAACATCTAGACAGACAGAGGAGAGGAGAATATACAATGATATGGGGAAAATGTATCTGTACATCCATTCAAACACCAACAGACAGCAGGTTTATGAATTTAATGTTGCACGTCACTTCAAAAAAGAAGATAGAAAACAGATGGTACCTGTCTCCAAATCGACACGCTCCAGTCTTGAGGAAAAAGGGACAGTTGGCTACGTCGCACTCTGTCCCAAAGTTCTCTGATTTTTCTGTCACTGGAGCCTCAGGATTCATCCACGGTCCTCCATTATCAAGCTAGAAGTGAGAGCGTGAACAAAAAAGCATATATACACTGTATAGTTTGACTTTAAACTAGAATTAAATGTTGTGCAAATTAAAGTTTTAATGTAGCTCTTAACTTTTAGTCTTTTACATTCTACCCATGGATCATATCAATTGTGAGGAAGTTAAAAGATGTAGTTATATATGTTATCCCATTCAAGTGTGTTTCTACCTGTTTTTCAGCTTCATCCAACATTTTCTGAACAGCCTCCTACAAATGGTGTAAAGACACGGCTGGTGAATATGTGTAGAGGTCAACATACTGCAGCATATCTGTTTTTGTGGGTTAAGACCACATTCACATGGACTCATAGGCACAAAACATAACCGGCATTTAAGAGGGACCATTTTAGAGATTACTGAACTCTTATAAAGCAATTTCACAGTTGTCACACAAAGTAAAAGATACATCCTTGTTGTGATAGCTGAAGGTGCTGTGAGGATTAGTTAAGGAGTAGGATGGTTGCTTGTGCCTCTCAGTCAAGGAAAAAAAATTAAAGAACCACACACAAAGCAGAAAACACAACTCACAAAAGAAACACTCAGCTGCTTAGATATGTTTAACCATATGACTGTCTTAATCTTCACTGTTGGGTGGACAATATAAACACTTATGATTAAGTAGAAGAGGATATATTTCTTTTTGTTTCTATCCTCCTGGGGCCCGTTTCACCTCTCTGTCTCGTTTCTCCTGCTGCTTCTGCTCTTTTTCTTCTTGTTCTTTCCTCTGCTGGGCCTCCCATTCCTCCTTAATCATCCGCTGTGAACACAAAAAGAGAAAGTGCCAGTCAATATTAAAATCTCCTTTAGAGAAATTAGGCTCAGGTGCGCTCATCAATTAATCACCACAGCAACAAACCCCAACTGATTAAAGTAATCCCCTGTGTCAGTCTCCAATTATTCATAGAAGCTGGGAGTAAACTGTAAATTTCATCACAGAGTTTGTTCTTTTAGTTGATGCTAATGCAGTTATTTTGTTGGAATTTGACTTTTTTTTAAAAATTTTTCATTGGCTTAATGATGAAGATTACTTTCTTGTATTTGGACCACGTATACCCATGCCTTGTGGTAGACCATTATAATTGAAGGACTGTAAAAAATCTGTGACTTGGTACCTGATGCCTTAATGGAGTTATTCTACATTTTATTGTCAACATTTTCCATTAAAAGACCAAAAACAACATGTGATCTTCCTACCCTGACTGTGGTACTCCGATCCAATTCCCTTAGGTCTTGGCAAGGATGGAAATCTTATAATTTGTGTGTTGCTGCAACTGGAAAACATACTAACAAATATCTCTGGAAAGACTTTTTCTGTCTTCAATTAAGCTTTTAAAACAAAGCTATGTATCTTTGTCCTAACCAGACATGACATCCGTGTCTTGATTTCTACACGCTCTCTGTAATGGCTACAAACAGGAAATTACCTCCTCTTCTTCTTTTCTTTTCCGTGCAGCTTCCTCCCTCTCAGACCTCAGCCTGAATTCCTCCTGAGCAAGCCTCTCTCTTTCCAACCACTCTTCATGTTGGCGCAATCTGAGAAAACACAAATCAAATACAATGAAGATTAATAAAAACCAATGCAACTGAGGTGTCTATGCAATTTATCACTGAATGTGCAGCTGCAGGACAGCAGAGTGACATCAGTATTGACCTAGTCCTACCTTTCCTCCTTAGCAATATCGTTGTCTTCATCATCTTCATCATTTATTTCTTCTTCTTCTCCATGTGTATCGCCTGCTCCATTTTTTAAACCTATAAAAGAGCAAATGTTGTAATTAACCTGGCAAAAACTGTAGAAATGACAGTTCATCACATTTGACAACAACACCAAAGGGACAGCTGTGTATCTCCGTACCACATTCTCTGGTTTGGGCGAGAGCTTGGCGTTTCCGTTTTCTTCTCTCTTTCCTCTGAGCAGCTCTGCGTTTCTTTTGACTAAAAAAAAAAAAAAATCTTTTGACCAAGGCATACTACAAAACCCTGAGATATTCAATGTACTATCACAGAAGACTAAGAAAGCCACAGAAGATTTGTAATTTAGTTAGAAGCTGGAACCTTCGATTTTTTTCGGCTATCTGCTTTCTAGTACAAATTAAAAGATTACTCGATAAATTTTCTGTCGATCGACTAATCGAGCTTTAAGTGTAAGATACGTAAAAACACTAATACAGGTTTTAAAAAATTCTCAAAATATTACTTGCTAGCACGTTGAGTTTAAAGTAAAAACGTAGTGTTAGTAACTTCAATAACGCTGCAGTGTTACAGCATTGGAAATGCTTATATACTGTTTCTCATGATACAGTAGTCCAACTCTCTTAAACGTTATTTGTTGAGATCTAAAGAGAGACACAGACCTTGGCACAGGAGCAGAGATCAGTGGAGGAGTGGATGCTGCCATCACAGCTAACGGTAGCTAGCTAGTTAGCACGAAAGCGTATTTTAGCCCGTTATTTCTTTTCATCGGCGTTTAGTAAAAAAAACATTAGACCGAATGTTCACCGACTGGATGGGTGGTTTCCGAAGTGGATTTGGTTTGTCAAAGTAGTGATAAAACCAATTTATTTCTGTTTGTTGAAAGCTTTAGCTAGCTGAATTCGCAGTTGTTTGGGTAGTTAGGTGGAGAGGAAGAGGTGGAGTTAATATTAAGTACTACCGGTTCAACAACCCTAGCATGCCGTCTTTTTTCTCGTTTTTATTTATTTTTTTTATTTCATATAGGGAAATTTAGAGATTGAATTATAAGTGAAACCATGAATTAAGAGTTTAAACTGAAATAAAAATTGTATTTCTTTGCTTAATAATACTATTGCTATTATTATCATTTAACTGTTTCTGGTTGGAAACAGAGTACTAGATTGATATGATGTTGTACTGGATTGAACAGATCTTACGGTAGAAGATAGAAACGAGCGGCAAAATCAGGCGCAAATTCATCCTGCATCTAGTGTTGTATTGTGTTGTTAAGTTTCGACATGAACAAGCAATCACCACCACGCCCACCTAGGAGACCGGAAGTTTATTCCATTTTGTACCATTGGCGCTGCCTGTAACCAGAGACAGTAGAGGACCTTTGCTGTAATGCGTTGTCTTCTTATAGAATATCTTTGGTTAACGTTAGCTTAGCTTCCACATTAACAATGAACAATAAAATTGCAATACGTAATTTCGTAACAAAACAAATATCAACACCAACAGCTATTCTATCAAAGACCTTAACCAGGTCTTACTTCTTACTTTGAAAATCGGAAATGGCGTCGTCAACAGGCGCTCAATGGGCCTCATCAGAGACAGTAGAGAAACCATTCTTAGGAAGAAATTCCTTCTTAAAACCCACCTACGCACTTTTGACGAATATTCTGACATTCACCAATGTTTTCTTAGTTGGGACTTGTTCTTAGGTAAGAACAGAATCTACGCACACTCAAGAGCACTCTTATGCACATTTGAGTGCTGACATGTTTGAACAAAATAATTTGTTATTGCGTTTTCTTCGGTTCTACAGTTATATTATAGGCCTATTATATTATTTGAATTACAATACTATTTTTGTCATTTATGGAAAAACATTTTTTAATAACTTTTGTTATTTTACAAAGCATTATGGTCTTCAGTGTCATACCTTTAAGGGCATTTTCGGGCGTTTATCTATGCTAATTGGGGCCAACTGGCACACACTTTCAATTTACGAGGAGATTGGCATTCATCAATCTAAGAACATAGATGCGCACAATTCTGCAGTTTAAGAACACGTTCATGAATCTGACCTTTTCTTAAGAACTCTCTTAAGAACACCTTAAGAAAGAATTTAAGAAAGTACTTGGTGAATGAGGCCTAGTGTTTTCCCGAATGTGGCCGAGTGACGCAAGTCGATTTTCGTTCAGACTGGCGGAAAGTTTGTCTCAAAACTCGTGTGTAAAATACAAATCCACAAGCGTAGACTTGAGATCCACAAATCCTTTTTTTGCTTCACAAATGGAAAATTGATTCACAAATATCTGTTTGAAAGTTGTAAATGTTTGGAACATATTCACAGATGCTTTTCATTTAATTTTTCTGTAAATTAATTAAATGTATTAATTAATTAATATTTGCAAGATATTTTTGTGAGTTTACAAATGTATTTTCTGTATTTGTGGAAGGTGTTTTAAATTTACAGATTACACATTTACTCACTTATTGTCAATTTGTTCACACAAATACCATTGAGACAAATCTACCTAACATGTACAGCTTCTTTAAGTTTTCCCGGAAATCTAACTTGCATTTTAGTTAAAACTCCTTTGAGAATGTAAAAAAACCTGTGGGAACTGCATGAAAAATTATCACATATTTTTTAGTGAGACTAGTACTCTGGAATTTGTAATATAAACATGACAGACTGTAAATGGTTGAATATCTATTGTGTAAATAATACTGCATATTATGAAATACAGACACATGAATGATTTCTTTATTTGCCAAACCACTGTCTAAAAGGCACCGCACAGACACCTCAGTGTCAACAACAAAGCAGTTTTTGTAATCAAAAAAACTTACCAAAAATAGAAGAACAATAAGTATTGTCAAGTGGTCTGAATCCCATACAAAAGTCTATTATTTGTGACACCGTGTGCCCTCTTGTGCTTGCTGGTCCTATAAATACACAAACACACTTTATTCTTTTAAAATTTATGTTTCACATTTTCAAAATAAGCAGTGGAGCATAAACACCAGATGACACAAACTCGGTTGACACTAGAGTATTTTGTCATGTTTTCAATACCCACATTTAGCCCTCATTAAGGTTAAAGGTGGCAGCTCCTTCTCCAAAAATAGTAACTGCTAATAAACAGTAGTACTTTGCAAGTTCTTCACCCTTTTATTCAGGCATGTTTGACATCCCTGGCACTCTCTCTGTCCCTGACACTCTGTATCATTCACTTTTCTTCTCTGGCGTTGGCCGACAAAAGAATGCAGGCCTGAAGCAGCAGCGGTAGCACAGAAACTGAGGCACCAGAGTGTACAGGACATTGACCAGCAAGAAGACAGGCTGGCTGTCAGCAGGCACTCTGTAGGAAAATGGCGTCCGTGTGTGAAGGGATGCACCGATATGAGAGAACTGAGCCTTTGAAGTAAAGCAGAGAGAGAAAAATGATGAAAAATTAACATATATTAACATTAACAAGAACATTGTTTTCTTACACCACTTACTCATAAAGGTTTAACATATTTTTGATATCTTGATATGACGTAACAACAACTAAATGATGATTATGTCTAACTGATATCCAAGTCAAAAAAAATTCTCTTTTATTATGTACAATTTTTACAAATTCTGGTATTGCCACTCATCCTCAAATATTTTTCATCCTAACAGACACCTGCCAGTTACCTTTTCATAGAAAGTCACCAAAAAGAGACACATGACGTGTCTCATAGCAACCATGGCTCTCGGAGCCTCAGCTGTCCTATTTATAGCCTGGATGAACAGCTGACATTTAAGTGAATACCACCATTCCTCCTGGTCTGAAGTCAGCTTCTGCCCTTATCTCGCCGATGAGTGATGCGCCGGCCTGCAGCTCAAACACAATGGCTGCTTTGTGTGAGATGTGATTGGCACACTAGCTGCTCCCACCACTCTTCAGAGTTTCCATCTTTAGGTGTAAACAGATAGTGTATATGCCACTGATTCAGACCGTATCTGTTCATGCAGAGCTACTGGTGCTTGACTGCAAGGAAGAATCACCTAAACAGAGACCAATCTCCCTACATAGAGGAGAAAGTTGGGGAGCAGCATAGACTTGGCCAGATGCCTAGTGTCGACCTTATCTACGTGACATCTACCTGAATCGATGATGTCATGTGGGAAAAGAAAGTATTTTGCATAGAGCTCATCCATACTGAAGATCTTTGTGTGACTGTAAAAGATGAAAACCACCACAAGTTCAAATGTGAGGAGATTCAGTTAAAATGGACATAGATCCACTTTTAGGGAAGCTATGTTACACCATAGAAAAGTATAATAATGAGTCAACGATACAGTGACAATGATTTTACAGATAAAAGAATACACTAAACAAACACTTAATGCAATATTCGGTTTAAAATGTTTGTGGCTAATCTCAATCAGCAAAGTGCTCCAAAGTCTGGGGGCTTTAAAAGTCCTAAATACCTGTGGTCCACACACACAAGTACTTTCCCTCATCACTGATGTACTGAAGACACTATGGGTATGGACATAGCGGAGCTCTGTCTAACTTCAACCCAAGCAGAGGTGTAATCACCCCAAATACCTAAAAAAAAGATAGATAGGAATAGGAATAACCAGCTGTACGGACCTGGGCCAGTGCTCCCGAGTGTACAAGTGTCAGGTCTGGCATCCACTCACATCCTGGGACCAACAGCCCATAGAGAGCAATGATGTAGTATGGGCCAGAGTACAGCATGCTCACCAGCATCTGACAAACATGGATACAGTTCACTGCTTCAGAGATTTGTGTGGTTACAGTGTTATGATGAAGTTTTGGCAAGCTTAACGTTACTATGGTTACCTGAACTTTAGGATAGGCTGAAGGGTCTTTCAGGTAAGGCTCATACCGTTGGGTGTAGTCTTGACACCATTTGCTGGAACAGTCCAGAGCGACCTAAAATACACAGACAGTCTGAAGTAAAGAGTCACATAAAGAAACTGTGTACACTGGGCAGCTGATTGCCTGAGGGTTTCTTACCAGGCCTCTGAAGACACAGAAAGCCAAAGCAGGGATGAGGTAAATAATGAACAGAAGGTCCAGAGGTCTGTGGAGTAAACTCTTTCTTTCAGCCTCCTGGATACTCTGACAGAGAGAAAGCAACATTGTTTTGTCCAAATGACAAATGACAAATGGCATCAGTGATGGAATGTATGCACTGCAATGGACTGGAAATCACTACCATGTTTTTCAAAGGTGGATGATTGAAATGGTCGCTATCAGACACATGGAAACTTCAGTTTATGAGCACAAATTGAAAAAATGAAGTTCTTAGCACCCATTCCTTGCTTACTTAAACAGCTCTAAGAATGGTGCGAATGGCTGAACCTGGCTGTCCTAGACATACTCTGTGGTAGTTTCTGTCTAGACTTCCTGTGCAGTATAATTCCCACATGTGTTTGCTTGAATTTAATGTTTAATTAGCCTATTGCAACGTTAGGGTTAGAAAAAGATGGTCAAATTGTGATGTCTCATATTTCAAAACTGTTGTGAACACTGGATTTTCTCATATATAACAGTCCATTAAAATCTATGTATGGGATTCTTTAATATCCTATTATTTATTACCATAACTGCAAGTTTTAATCCTGACTTACTGTCAACTGAATATCCTGTGCTGAGGGCTGGCTGAAGATGCGGAAACAGGCCCAGACAGACACTGAGATATACAGCATGTGGAGGAGGAACAGAGGACCAACATGGGTCCCATATTTCCCTGGGAAAAGACATAACAAGATTATATCTCAGTGTGGGAAAGACACAGAGCAAGCCACTAAACGTAGCAGTATTTACAAAAAATGTGCTTCTGTTTCATTTCTAATATACAAAAAAGAGCAAAGGTTGGACCGTTGTTATATTTTCATGGGAAGTACGTGCAGGGAGTTACACTAGCCATCTATCCTACCCTACACTAGCCATCTAAAAGCATCCCATTATTTTTAGTGTACTTACCCACAGCATTCCCAAGAATGTAGACTATGGCACGCATGAGAAAAGATCCCACCCAGTACAGTCCAATGGCTCGGTAACTGTCCCTGTGCAAACCACGTAACACTGCTATTTCAAAGCCAGATGAACACATTATACTTCCAAAGACTCACACAGATAGATAGATAGATAGATAGATAGATAGATAGATAGATAGATAGATAGATAGATAGATAGATTGTGTATATATAGTATACTCATAGATATGGTGAAGCATGAATATGGGGAAATTTACTTATTAGAAATAAAGGAAAACGTGGGACATATTTTACTTGATTTAGTGATAGAGGTGTAGTAAATAACCTTGTGAAAAATGCAGCACTTACCCCCATGTAATCGCAGCAATCATGAGCAGATATACAAGATAGTGCACACAGCCATCCCAATAGGAGATCATGTGGCCATGTGCTGTATTAATATGCGGATCTGCCTGAAACACAGGGTAGATTTATCAGTAAGAATGTGTGGAGAAACATACAGGTCACTCACAAACAGGAATCCCAGCACAACACTTGCCTCTTTGAGGTAAAATGTCACAAATCCATCAATGATGTTGTCCTGCTCCAGCCCAATGATCAGATTCACCACACTGAAGAATGCATACACTGCATACACTGCACAGACAGATGAATGCATTTAACTGATTTCAATGGTGTGACAAATTGGAGCTTACTGGCTCCTAAACCTGGAATTACACATTTCTACCTGAAGTGGACACCATGCAAACATAATGTGCTGTGTATCACCTTTTAATATTTAATCTCACAAGAATTTATCCATAAAACAACACACACTCAGAATAACTTCTAAAGGCCACAGATATGCAGACATCTCTATTTTGATTCAAAAGCTACACAGAACCTCATGATTCCTAGCTCATGACTTGGTATAAATACTACAAATATTAAAAATGCTTTGGTCACAACAAGAAACATTTGAGAGTTCATACCATAGAAAAGAGGATCTGCTGGAGCCTTCTTCTTGATCATAAAACGGGCTGAAAGGGCCAGGATAAGGACTGTTGTACATCCAGCAAAGAAGAAAGCTTCAGCACTAAATGCAATGTAAAAAAAATTATATTCTTTTAAAATCTGATCAATAGTTTTCAAATGATTCTAGTTACTACTCCATTGGTGGTTTGTTTTTTCTATCAGCAGAGAAATTAAAGAAAACATTCAAAAATTGAAAAAATGCAGACCTATTCTCACTCACCTGTTGTTGTAAATGAAGGAATTGAACAAGTAGCAGATGGGGATGGACATCAGAGACAGCACAAACACCCCCGTCCCTGCAGACGCGCTCATTGTGGAGCAGGATTGAGCGATTAATCTCCGAGAATTGAGAATTTAAAAATAATTCAGACCCAAAAAACTTTGATGTTTAGTCCGCGAGTCATATTTTTAAAAGAAAGTGAAAAAGAAATCACAACACATGGCAATGTAAACAACGCTTACAGTTGAAACTCCGCTCCAGAGAGCATGCTCTGTCTTGTTCTTCCTCGCTTCCACTCCCTCTCTCACTCACCACCTCTCAGCCTCCCACCTAACACACGCGCGCTCACATGCACACACACACACTCACACACACACACACACACTCACACACACATTTGACACTTCTGCCCAAACGCTTGCTCTACAGTGATGAAGAAGTGGTGAATATCAAACACATTTTATTGAGCCATACAACACAAATTTCACTTCAACGATTCAAAAGACAAAGGACCCGGGTGTTCTCGAAGAGTAAACTTTGATGTTTAGTTTGCGAGTCATATTTTTAAAAGAAAGTGAAAAAGAAATCACAGTGTGTCTGGCAAAGTAAACAACGCTTACAGTAGAAACTCCGCTCCAGAGAGCATGCTCTGTCATGTTCTTCCTCGCTTCCACTCCCTCGCTCACTCACCACCTCTCAGCCTCCCACCTACTGTCGCTCGCGCGCGCGCGCGCGCACGCACACGCACACACACACACACACACACACACACACACTGGACACTTCTGCCCAAACGCTTGCTCTACAAACAGTGATGAAGAAGTGGTGAATATCAAACACATTTTATTGAGCCATACAACACAAATTTCACTTCAAAGATTCAAAAGACAAAGGACCCGGGTGTTGCGTTTACAACAATGCCGATAAGAGCCGGAGCCCCGTCTTTTGACCCGGGAAAGCCCGACCTAAGCGGGTCTGAGCGGGTTTTTGACCAATGGAAAAGGGGCTTTACTATAGACACACAGATTTTCTCGCTAACCGGAGTTGCTCTAGTCTGTGGCTGTCTGTGTACACGGAGCCTTCAGTGTGAGAGGCTATTACTTGTGATGTGTAACCAATCAGATGGTGCTTTGGGCGGGACATTGCTCCAGACCAGAGTGGTGACTACAGAGAGGGACGTCTGCATTAGAGCCAAAGTCGCACATTTTAGAATTCATTTATTTTCGATCACACACACACACACACACACACACACACACACACACACACACACACACACACACACACACACACACACACACACACACACACACACATACACACACACACACACACACACACACACACACACACACTCATGTTCCCTCATACTCATACACATATCTCACATTATGCATGCATATCTGTGGCAGATGGCCGCCCACCCTGAGTCCTATTCTGCTCCAGGTTTCTGCCTCTTAAAAGGAAGTTTTTCCTTGCCACTGTTGCCTAGCGCTTGCTCTTGGTGGGAATTGGTGGGTCTCTGTAAATAATATAATAATATTATAAAGGGAACAAATAAACTATACAAATAAAAATTGACTTGACTAGCCTGCTGGCTGGCCCACTGTGGGCCGCCTTACCCATTACCCATTAGCATTAGCAAGCTGCTAACTAGCATTGTACATTGATGAATTAATTAAACAATTTCAATATAAGAATGATAAAGAAAATGTAAAAAACATCTTTCTAAATGCATTGTATGTCTAAGTGATTGATCTCCCAAACAGACATCTCTTAGTATTCTTTCCTAACAGGTGCTTCCCACCGGGGAGTTTCTCTAGGACGAGATGTAATCACAAATCGATTTTAGTTCAGACTGGCAGAAAGTTTGTCTCAAAACTCTGTGGGTAAAATGCAAATCCACAAGATTTCCCTAGGAGCTGGTGGAGACCAAATATATAACAGTTATGAATTATTATTTAAACAGTTCGTTTATTTCTCACAAATGTCATTTCAGCCTCTCCGGAGCAGCAGTCAACACAAAGCCAGCTAACAACAACACATTCTGCTTCACCAACTAGCAACGAGCAAGTGTGGACACAAGCTGCACTATTTGTCCAAAAGTATGTGGACACCCCTCATTTCAAGGCCTCTGAAGCCCCAGCAAAGGGAAGTTTCCAATCAGAGGCAGTTTGCGAACAGCTTCTTTTAAACCAGTCATTCTTGGCTTTTGTAGATTTTGTTAATAACCCTGTTTGTTTTGTGCTTTGTAGTTTCTTTCTACCTCACAATTGAAGAAACTCCCTTATTCTATTTATTTTTTTCCCCTTCTTTCGGTAAATTTGTCTGTCCTCTAGTATTCAATCATGCATTTTGTTTCCATATTGTACATAATTGTACTCGCATGTTGTTCAATTCATTGATACATAAATCTAAATAAAAATATTTTAGATGTCTTGTTATTTAGCAGATTCTTTGTCTTTAGCCGTGTTTTTGATTAATTTTAACCAACTGTGCCAACCTAAGCTTTTCCTGTGTTTTATTTGATGTGTTGATCCATTAGAAGATATATTTGTGGTTTTAAGAACCAAAAACAGTCTCAGTGTAGTTTCACATCTCCTCTCTCAGGCTTCTCTCTGGAGCTCTACTAACAACAGCTCGGTGAGCCAATAAGACGAGAGGAGGCTCTGAGCCTCTTTTCTGATTGGAGCGAAAAGAAGTTGGATTTCTATCTTCTTACCAAAGAAACCCGCTCGCTCGAACAGCTGAGCTTTAAGGCTCTGTTTCTGGACACAGGCTGTGTGCTGCTTCCAGAATATTTAACATTTCAGTGAGTGAAAGAATCAAAATAGTTTCACAAAATTAAAAGTAATGAAATAAATAACCCAAAACACATTTTGTCTTTTAACAGTTTATTACTAAAAATAAGTTTTTGTGTGTGTGTGTGTAAAGCTGACAGGTTTTCTCTTGTGTGTTTGTGTGACAATGGGATTGCCATGTTGACAGCAGTTGGTAGCTCAGGGGCGGTTGTGGTCGTGTTTAGTTGAAGCGGACTCTGCGCATGGAACCCACGGTGTTGTTCTGACTGCCCCAGTCAGAGAAGTTGTTATAATCACGCTTCTCCAGGATGTAATGAGGTCCTCTGTAGTTTGGCTCCTGATACACCACCCACCTACACACACACACACACACACACACGTAGAATGAGTCCTTTAATCTGCAGTTCACGTAAAAGTGTTCATGTTGACTTTAAATATGATTAAACAGTGTGTGACTGTGGCTGTTCTAAAGAATCCTAACATGCAGTGACGGTATCAACAAAAACAAATGTTTATGAAAACGTTACTTACTTGGTCTGAATCATGGAATCTTGTATTCGTGAGACTTTTTTCTCAAGTCAGACTGAAGTCACAAGAATGAGACTTGAAAGTTTAAGTTTTGACCTAGAAAGTCCTGGTTTGTCTTTTTAGCTCTTTAATTTACTGCTCCATCACCCATTAGACCACCTGCCCCCTGGGACAGAACATCTGGAGCAAAATCCACTTATAAACAACTGTAGATTACTGTAAAACTTTTATTATTGACTGACTAACTGCAGACACATAACCTGTTATAACTGGATTCTAACATTATAATAAACTGACAGAAATCTCTGCCAGTGGGTTTTTTCACAACCTGGCAACCCATAACTGTTTGTGGATAAGTTACAATGGTTTTTAATTGATCTATAAAGCATTAGTTAATGTTTTATTATAAATTACTGAAGCAAACAGTTTCTAAAACATAAATGATGCTTCATCAGAGAGTGGTATCAATAGAGAGTTTACTCTTACAGCCACCCGTAGGAATGAAGTATAGAAAGTACAGGTGATAAAAACACTGACAAACAGCCAACAATACAAAAATAATGTTTCTCTGGTGACATGTTGCACTTACGCTCCTCCGAGGACGCGGATGGAGGCGACTCTGTTGAGGCTGTAACGGCTCATCAGGTTGGGGATGTCGTCCTGGATCTCCATCTTCTTACCGGAGAAACCGGCTCGCTCGAACAGCTGAGCTTTGGCAGGGTTGTTGTCCTGAAAGCATCAGAAATACACAGAAAGACTGGCAGTGAGTGTGTGTGTGTTATTGGATATGTTGGATATGTTACTATTGTTTTACCAGATTAGAGACTGCAGAGCTAAACAGCAGCTTTCTGATGATATAAAACTGATTTTAGGCCAACACGTTTGGAATATTTATTTTTCAGTTATTTCTCTAGTTAAGTCTAACATCGTTGTGGTATTTTGTTTTATATTATTTATTTGTTATATAACTAAAATAAGTTCTATCTTTAATGCATGGGATTTTTTTCGGCACAAATACAGCATCATATCATTTTTATTTTTCACTTTAGTCACTTTTGTGACAATTCAAATAATTTGGTACCACTTCAGATTACAACCTGCAAATTTAAGTTTTTGTACATTCGGGGTATCAATGAAATACTTACTGGGCACCTATAGGTGAAAAGAAAGTTGGACAGGGAATGAGGGGGTAATAAAAAAGGGGGAACCTAGGACTAAGTTACACAAAAATGTTACCTCCACTAAATAAGGTACACTCTATATATTATATTATATTGATATAAGTACTGTTGAAAACTGTAGCTTTAACTATAAAGGCAAAACATTCCTCTCTGACACAGCCTGATGTTTTGTTTTTACAAGAATAATAAAAAACTATATTAAAACTTAACTTAGAGTTTTTGAACACAAAATTGTTTGCTCCTAATGTCTTGTAGAGGACAAGACATTAGGAGCAAACAATTTTGTTGTGTCACTAACATAGAGGAACCCAATACATGTTCTATTGATACGTCACATACAGTATGGACTCCTACATTAACAACACTAATTTGAGGGATGTAAAGCATTATCCATTTATGTTACTGCCACTGATGCAGCAGCTGTGACTGCACACATTCTCAGTGCAGGTCTGTAGAGTAACAGAGAGTTTGTCTGCACCTTTAGTGACTGTATGTATTTTGTGTGTTTTTGGGAGGTTTGTGTTTCACCTGTTTGACAGAGCGGACAGAGGAGATGTGGTCCACCTGAGCACACCACTTGTCGTAGCAGTTGTACTCTCCCCGGTCGGACATGTCCCACAGGTACTGACGGCCCCGGAAGTTCTCATGCTCATAAGCGACCCATCTTTAAGAGAGCGGAGAAGAAGAAGAAGAAGAAGGTGAGACGAGAGTCAAAGATACAAACAGCAACAGGGAAAAAAAATACTAACAGAAAAAATTTGCCAGCGCTGAGCAATCTTGCTGTCAAATCCAAAAGTTAATTTTATTTACTGACCCTGCAGATCTGAAATCAGCATTTCCAGTAAGACCTGTTTTGTCTTTGAGTAGAATTAATTATAAGCTGATTTCCATGCAGTTCATTTTGGTGACTCATAGTCTTTCTCTTTTGGACAGCAGTGTGTGTTGTAGTGACCTGTCTCCTGCTTTAGGTGGTGATATAGACTTACGCTCCGCTCTCCACCTGCACAGAGTTACATCTCTCTGGGAAGTTCTTGTCACTGAGCCTGGCACAGTCAGAACTCAGGTCCAGCCGTCGGCCGGCGAAGTTCCTCTGCTCGAAAAGGGTCACCTGAGGGCAGAGAGGTAAAGAACCTGCTGTGATTTTACTGCTGAATCAGGCAAACTTCAACACTCAGGTACTCAAAGTGTGAGAGCATTTTATAAATGTTACATTTATTGTAGTCTTTCCCTCCACAATATTTATGCAGTAGATTCAGGTTTTATCCAGATTAAGGATAAATCTGACATCTTTGACAAAAATATGACATGCAATGTAGGAAGTTAGTAACTGATGACAAAGCTTCCAGATGTTTATGTAAATCAACACATAAAGAACTCAAAATATCTGATTTTAAAGGGAGTAACATGCTGAGTATAAATCTTTGTGAACAACAGACAGAGATAGTGACTTGACTGGAAACTTGGGCTGTTTGTTACCAGGCTAAACAACCAAGACGCATCATGCTGAGCCGTGAGCTTTAGAGGTGTCAGCAGGTGTATTTTTTTAAACTAAGCTAAGCGGATCGCCTCCATCAGCTTCACACTAAACACACAGACACGAGTAATACCAGTCTCACCTGATTCTCTCATATATTTCCTTTAAGACAAATGTAGACTTAATAGCGAAATGACCAGTGTTTCTTCCTCAAACTGTCAAATTAATTAAAAGATTTTTTTAAAAATGGAAAGACTCAGTTTACTGTTAAGAAATTACATTTTAAAAACAGAATGTGTCTTTTTCAGCTCAGATTTTCATCTGAAATAATTTGTTTAGTAGAAAGAAGTATCAACAAAAATGAGATCTGTGGATTCACTGGGCTATTGTTTCTGTTTTTTTTTAGCTCTGTTTACACCATAAACTACAGTCTATTCACACCTATGTACTGAGCTGGAAGCAGACAGATTACTCAAAATCAAAACAACATGAATGGAGAGACAGAGTAGAGATGAGGGTGAAATACTGTATAGCCTCTGTGTTCTGGGTGAGCAGACCCTTTAAAATCTTTAAACCTTAAACCTAAAACATTAACTTCACAAATTTTATTGATTTTACTTTAAAGGATAATTTGACTTGTTCTCAGCCTGTGCCTTATTCTCACAGTCTTTTCATTTCAAATGATTAAACCTTTATTCTACGAAGCGTCCAGACCCGTCAGGTTCACCTGGGACAGGTGACAGGCTATATAAATAAACTTGCACCTAATGATTATTTTCTCTATCGATTAATCTGACTATAATCATATCAAGTAATCCTAGTCCGCCAACCTGAACAACGCCCCTACCGGACATTGGTTGTCATGGTTACAATATCAAACACCTGGACTGTACCGACAGATGTCAACAGATGTCGTCTAACAACAAAGCATAACTTTGGGTCATATTAACCTGCTGCACAGACGACCTGTTGGCTTGTTTGCAGTAAAAACTCACATTTGCGAAGCTGAAACCAGCAAATGTTTGACTGAAACAAACAATAATGCTAATTGATTTTCTTTAGATTGATTTTTTCCATTAATCAACTATTCACTACAACTCTACTCACAATTCTGCACCACAGAACCAGTCAAAATGTGTAACTCTAGTCACTTTAAATGACGTAACCCATCCTTACAAGTTCGCTTCAATAAAATAACTCTACATGATTATTTGACTCACCCTCCCACTGGACCCGTAGAAGGCACGTTGGAGCACAGACCCCAGCTTGCTGTAGATATAGAAGCATTCTTAATGAGTAATCAAACCCCAAAGTCATCAAAACAAAAGATAAAACAATCACAAAGAAACTTCAGAAACAAACTGTGCTGAGATTTTAAACTTGTGCAAGTGAAATCAAAGACCCTGGCCTCTGAGAATTTCATTACTTTTGTCCTTCTAGATAAAATAGTTTAAAGTTTTAATGTGCCCAACTGTACGAGATTAGGACCGACACTGATTTAGTAGTACTGTCGTGCTTTAGTCTTTCGAATTGAAAACCATCATCTTGCACCTAAGCTGTATGTGTGCATGTCTCCTACAACCATCATCACTCTTCCAGGTGATTTTGGGAAACTGGTAATGGAGGCGTCACAGAGAGCAGAGCATGAGAACCAGCAGGAGGTGGGATGTGGAGCCAAGGGCCCACCCACCTTGGCACCTCTGAGCGGGGGGTCTGACTCTGTGAGCCCGGCTGGTGCACGGCACTCTGAACATACCTGGTTTGTTGGGCTAATCCTGGGACCTTAGTAAAGATGTTCATGTCAGCTCTGCGAGGCCACAAGAAAGCCCCTTAAATACGGCGAGTTGAGGTGAGCCCACAGGTACTAGAAAGCTCAGAGTGGTTCTGCACCAGTCGTCGGGGCCCTGAACTTCATTGATATGCTAAACACACACAGCCACGCTCATGTTGTCTTCTCTGTCCACAGCACTTACACATCAGCTGCTGCAAACACTGCAACTGCATGCAGAGCACAAAAAAAACATACAAACACACACATACACACACACACACACACACACACACACACACACACACACACACACACACACATACAGAGCAATTGAAGTTGATGTGTGCATACAAACAGACAAACACAACAAGCAGAGATTTCAGTTTCTGTACAAACACACACACACACACAAACTGCACACTAACATGTAGCAGAGAGTGCAGTGCCAACAGTTTTGGCTTTGAACAATTCAGCATTTTTTTTTTTTTTTTTTTTACCACAGTGCTGTGTAAACAATGCACCTTATGTTAATGGTTGTATTCATGCTTTGTGCAGGAGGGCCAGCTCCAGCACACTGTATTCACTGAAGAGGTCATGACCCTGAGGGGAGCTGCACTCACAGTGGGTGCTTCTCCTGTGGAAACATGTTGCTGCGTCACCTCTATGAACCTGAACGTACAGATTTAGTCTTACTGTTCCACCGGTGCACGTTTGTAGAACCGGGAACCTGATGGTTCAACAGTCTGGTTTAGATTTAAGTCTTGGTGACGTGATGTGGACATTATTTACATATCGCACGTACAAGCCAAGATTTTATTCATACAGACAGGGGAGTCTCAGACTGGTCGCCTGGTCTAAATCCTAAAAAAAAGTTTTCAATAAAAGTAGTATTGTATTGTACTTTATGTATAATGATGTTCCTATGATGTGATGTCATCATGATGTTATCCTGGTTGTGTGTTTTAAGTGATCAATTATCAAAATGGCAGCCAATTAATTTTCTGTTGATTGAAACGATTAATTGACTCATCGTTACAGCTAAAGTACTGAGTACAAACCATAGGAGTTGTAGAGACAATATTTTTTCATAATTTTTTAATAACCATTTAGTCAAACAAAATCTTTATTATTATCTTTATTATTATTATTATTATTATTATTATTATTATTATTATTATTTTGTCTGCTCTTTGGGACAGAAAGACAAACAGTTTCCAATACAATCAAACTAAGGCTTCAAAACTGCTTATTTACTTACAATAAATTTACATTTTAAGCGTCACAAAGGTTGTAAATATATATACATACATACATATATATATATATATATATATATATGTATGTATAATGTATACATGATGGTCATAGATTCAGAGTTCCCCAGTTCAGGTGCAATAGGACCAGGAACTCCTTTTATCCCGTGTGCAATAACCCTGCTGAATTTGCACATGTAGGCTAAATTGCTTCATAGTGTTATAGTGTTTATTGTGTTTGGTGTTTTACAGTGTTGTGTACTTTATTGTATTGTGTATATTGTTACACTTGTGTTGTTTTTGCCTGTTTTTTAAATCTGTACCCCTGACTGAAAATCAAGACTCCCACTTGGGATAGTAAAATGTCTGAATCTGAATCTAATATATCTGCAGGGGTATTGTTTTGCATTATGTTATACTGCACAGGTGTTCCTGTTATTTCATATGTGAAGGCTGTCACAAATACAGGACAGAGTGAGAGTACACTCTAAAGAGTGATGCACTTGTTTCAAGAATGGTTCATCTTTTAATTTCTACTTGTCTTTCACAATAAACTCACTCAAACACATAACTGCACCTTCACTGATGTCTGTTCTGTTTTACAGTATAAAGCCGTGTTAGTCGCAGTGTTATGAGACCAAGCTGCTCATGGGTCAGGCTCGTTAACATTAACTTTGCTTACTGTGTCAAAATCCCTCCTTTTTCCAAAAGATCTGTTTACCCCAGCAAATTCACGCTCACACTTCACTGACTTCAAATGGAGAGGTATTCAGCGCGCGCGCGCGTGTGTGTGTGTGTACATGTCTGTGTGTGTGTGTGTGTGTGTGGGGTGGGGTGGGGGGGGGTTTGCTGCATGTGGGCTGATGAATAGCAGAAAATGTCCTGGATGCTTCACCCGGTTTTGTTTCTGTAACTTTGGCAGTGAACCAGTCGGTGACACCGGCGGGCATTAACCACATCCAGAAGCTTGGGGACGTTTCTTGCATTTTGGAGCAGTTTCCAGCAGAGACAAATGCAGCAGGTCAGACATCTATATGTGGTTCTGAGTGAGGCGGCTGGGGCTGAGACAGAGACTGAGCAAAGGGACAGATGTAGGGAGACAAACAGCACAGGTTTCCGCAGGAGGACTCAGAGGCAACTTTACAATTTTTATCCGCTTTAATTTTTTTTAATCTTGGTTGTATTTTACACCACTAAAGAGATAAAGCAGCTTGAAATGTCTCTCATCCTGACTGTGCTGGACAAGCTGGCTTACTTTCTGTCTCTGATAGCGTTTTGTGTCAGTGTGTCTTACAGCTGGCTGAAATGAAACTAGATTCTTCCTTTATACCCACGAGGTCTGACGATGACTGGATGTTTTTTCAGTCGATATTTAACAAATGATCCAGAGGTTTGAGTTAGGATGGTTTTACTGAAAACCTGTGGACACCTGACACCTGAGCGTGAGTTTCTGAATCCTTGCTTTACTTTAACATGTCTGTACATTCTGGGATCTGTGCTCAGCTTATCTTAGCTCATGATGGACTGACGGGAGATGCAGCCTTGCAGCTGTTTTGATGGGTTTCATTTCCCTACATGTTGCTGTAATGATGTGAAATCACTGCTCAAATCTGGCCAAACAATTTCTCTGCAGGTGTAACTGAAGACAGTGAGCTCCTTGCCAAAGATCATGATGCTGCAGCAGTGCATCCTGAGGACGTGCCATGTGCTTGCACTGGTGCTGTGTGTTTCAGCCAGTGAGGACTTTGACTGGACAAAGAATGAGAAAACATCCTTCTACTACGGCACCTTCCCAACTGGTAGTACACACAATTCAACGCAAAATAGTTCACAAATTGTGGATGTTCTTGTCCTTGGAAACAGCAGATGATAGAATAATCTAATGAAAGATGATGATGAATATGATGGAAAGCTCCGGCAGAAAAGCTACTAAACTGACCTTTTGGAGAGACAATTTTGTCAACCAGTGGTCTGATCGTCTACTCTGTGTTGCCCTGCAGGTTTCTCCTGGGGAGCTGGCAGCTCTGCCTATCAGACTGAAGGGGCTTGGAACATAGACGGCAAAGGAATGAGCATCTGGGATACGTTCGCCCACAAAAAAGGGAAAATATTCTCAAATGATACGGGAGACTCCTCGTGTGAGGGATACTACAAATTCAAGGTGACATGCAGAATAAATGCAGCTACTCTCCAAACAGGAGAAGGCACTGGAGAGTGTAAACCTCCACTGATGCTTAATGTTACTGCTACACACCCAAGGTTTTTGAGGTGTTCACAGGGGACACTAAAAAGTGATGAACCCAGTTGAGAAGCACTTGTTGTTTAATGGTTTTAACGTCAAAAGTCACAAAGCAAAGCGCGCTTCTGCCTTTGGTTGTGTTTAGAGTATGTGCAGCAAATGTCTTGTCAAATTGCTGAAGATGTTTCATGACTTTGCTTGTGTTTTGTCTTTTTGCATGGGTTTTCTTAAGTTGCAGTGCATTGAGCTCTCAGGGCCAACGTAGTATAGAAAACATTAAGCCATAGCCAGGAGATGTTCATCCTAGTTTCAAACAGCTAGCCAATTGAGATAGAAAAAGTGTTATTCAGAGAGCTTTAGATGTGATGGTAGGCAGGTTTTTTTTTATTCCAGTCTTTATACTAAGCTAAGCTAAGCTAATAACCTCCTGGCTCCAGCTCCAGACTTAATACACAAACGTAAGAGCGGTGATGATCTTCTCATCTAACTCTTGCAGATAGCTTGTTCCTCAAAATGTTGAACTATTCTGTTAAAGTGGAGTTTTGTGGGTTTGAACAATGTTTGGCTGCACAGCATGAGACTGTGTGTTGAGTTTAAGATGTTAAAGTGAAGGCTTCTCACTGTCACCAAAATATAATCAACTGCTGCTTGGTACGAACAGTTTTCCTTTCAATTGAACAGCAAACTGTTGTTAGATGAGATTTACTGCTATAGCCAGACGGGCAAACAAACTAACTGGTTTGAAAACCAGAGCTCAGATACGACTCTTTTTCAGTTTTGTCTTGCAATGGTTTGAAAAATATTTCCTGTTGTTTGTTTTAAAGGATGACATCACCTTGATGAAAGACATGAAGCTGAATCATTATCGTTTCTCCATCTCCTGGCCAAGGATTTTACCAAGTGGACTGAAAAGTAAGCAAATACCTCATCTTATTTATTTATTTATTTTACAGTATTTTAGTGTGGTAAATGTGGTTTAGTATGTTTTCTTAATTGTTGCTGGTTATTCTCCTAGAAGTGTGTTAAATTGCATCGTCCCTATTAAATAAATAATTAACTAAAAAAAATAAAAAAAAATAATCTGAAGTAGGGTTGCACAATTAATCGAAACATAATCAAAGTCGCAATATGGCCAAGTGCAATATCCAAATTGCAGGAGCTGCAATTTTTTGATAAAGGTAAAATGTGTCACAACACTGTTGTGCATTGTTGGCACCATAAGCGTTGTGGTGCTACAGAGACGCCCTGGCCTACAAATCATATTCTCCAGATGTAAAGGAACATGTTTATCTGCCAAAATAATGGCAATATGATTTATTTGCATATCGTGCAGCCCTAATCTGAAGTCATCTTGTGATCAGCATTTTTCATTATCGTTAAGGACATTTTATAAAACAAATAATTTACACACTGAGAAATGATGGATAATGAGCATTTGTTGCTCCTGCGGTAATTAAGCTTTATCTAATTAGATGAATATTGATATTAATTCCATCTTTCACTGGCGACTCTCTCAGGTGAACACATCAATGAGAAAGGAATCAAATATTACAACGACCTGATTAACATCCTGCTGGAAAATAAGATCACACCTGTTGTTACTCTGTATCACTGGGATTTACCTCAGGTGAGCACTGAACTCACCGAACCTTTGTTTTATATTTCTGTTTGCTGATTGGAAGGAACTGTGTGGATACTGATACAGTTTTACACTCCACCTGTTCAGGTGTTACAGGAGAAATACGGCGGCTGGCAGAACATCAGCATGGTGAACTACTTCAACGACTTTGCCAACTTGTGCTTTGAAAGATTTGGGAACAGAGTGAGGTACTGGATCACATTCAACAACCCCTGGGTGAGTCAGGCTGAAGAGATAGGGTGCGTTCACAGTTCTGTAGCGTTTGTGTTTTTATATCAGACAGTGTTGTCTTGTGTTTTCAGTCGATTGCTGTGGAGGGATATGAAACAGGGGAACATGCGCCCGGGCTGAAGCTGAAGGGAACAGGAGCTTACAAAGCTGCTCACCATATCATCAAAGTAAGACTGGAGAGATGAAGGTTTTTGTCCAGGTCGGTTTTATTCTGTCACCAAATGACAGACGACATCAGCAACAGGTATTAGGATTAGATAACAGGATTAGTAGACAGGCCTGTTTTTATTTTGACAAAACAATCTCACCATTTCAGTATCTGTGGTGGAGCTTTAGATAAGAGTACTGGCTGGTCATCTCCTGGACAAAGGTTTTACCCAATGGACTGAAAAATGACTGTATGTCTGACCTTGAGTGTTACAGTGTGATGGACTGTCATTGTGTACCACTTCTTTTTTTAATGTTTTGATTTGCTACGTATGAATTTGATAAATTGATTTTTCATTTAAATCGTTCATCAAACAAAAATGCCAAAATTTGTTGCTTCCATCCTTTTAAATGTGAACGTTTTCCCTTACATCACTGAATATTCAATATTCGTGTTGATTTGACAAAACAACCAACTTGAAGAGAGCTTGTGATAATAATTTCTTTTTTTTAGCATGATTAAATTAATCTTTCACTGACAACTCTTTCAATCAAACACATCAACAAGGAAGGATTAAATATTACGATGACATGATTAAGATGGACGTGTTTTGGGAGAATCCTAATGGCGCCCAAATAAAGTTTTTACTTAAGTTTTTTATTTATCCTCCACCAAGTGGAAAAATTAATGAATCTGCAAAATATCGACTAACAGCATGTTTCATTTGTTTCTTCTCTTGCAATATAATACCCACTTGTGGCATCTAAAATATCAAACTACACTAAAAAATAAATAAATAAAAAAAAGGACATTAAGGTGACACTTCCTCTCCGTCTTCATAACAGGCACATGCTAAGGTTTGGCACACGTACGACATGCAGTGGCGAAGCAAACAAAAAGGTAAAAATGAAATGTTATTGTTTATTTATTTATTTTTTGTGTGTCGAAAGTCAAAGATAAATTTCTGTCATGCTGGACAATAATCTTGTGTGTGTGTGTCCAGGCCTAGTTGGGATCTCGCTAACAGCTGACTGGGGTGAACCGGTGGACATCACCAACCAGAGGGACATTGAAGCAGCAGAGAGATACATCCAGTTCTACATGGGCTGGTTTGCTACTCCCATCTTCAACGGAGACTATCCCCAGGTTATGAAAGACTACATCGGTACGTCATGGTCACATATGTACAACTGTTTATATGATATTACTTCAAACACCTCACCTGCTCACCACTGCATTATGGGTATAAGAAACAACTACATTACATCTTGAATCTGCCATTCATATGCACCTTGTCTTCTGGTGCTTTAGTTTCAATACAAATTGTTTTGAACTTCCACCTGTAGGCAGGAAGAGTGGCCAGCAGGGCCTGGGAGCTTCACGGCTGCCCGTCTTCTCGCCTCAGGAAAAGAGCTACATCAAGGGAACCTGCGACTTCCTGGGCCTCGGCCATTTCACTACTCGCTACATCACCCAGAAGAATTACCCATCAGGCCTCGGAGATAGCTACTTCGCAGATCGTGACCTCGCTGAGCTGGTTGACCCGCAGTGGCCTGATCCTGGCTCTGAATGGCTCTATTCTGTTCCCTGGGGCTTCCGACGCTTGTTGAACTTTGTCAAGGTACAAAACACAGATCTGAGTAAACCAAACCACACAAGACCAGGCACTATCCCAACACCTCTAAAGCTCCCTAATGAACCTTTTTTATGACATTTGTTTAATTCACATTCAAACAGAAACGTAAAATTACAATTTACATTGTTAGAGGGAGTTACGGTGTGTGACTATTTATTGAAAAATAACATTTGTATAGGTAAATCTAAGCACATAATGATATGAACACATCAGTGTGTATTCCTTCTCATTTGAATGTAATACGACATCTCTCTAATAGACTCAGTATGGAAACCCCATGATCTACGTGACAGAAAACGGCGTGTCAGAGAAAATGCTCTGCACCGACCTCTGTGATGACTGGAGAATGCAGTACTTCAAAGACTACATCAACGAAATGCTCAAAGGTGAAACAACAATTGGCTAAACACAGACGATGCCACAAAAGAAAGATTTCACTGTCTGGTTTATGCTGTTTTTTCTTCCTTGGTCCATTTTACAGCAATCAAGGACGGGGTAAACGTGAAGGGCTACACAGCCTGGTCTCTCCTCGACAACTTTGAGTGGGATGAAGGATACTCTGAGAGGTTCGGCCTCTACTATGTGGACTTCAGGAACAAGAACAAACCACGCTACCCGAAGGCCTCAGTCCAGTTCTATAAACGCATCATCAGCTCTAATGGTTTCCCCAACCAGAGAGAGGTAAACTCCAAGAACAACACACTCCACGTTAAAAATCCCTCTGGAGAATATGATGTTTAACTGTGAGATATTGTCGGATCTTTTACAGGTGGAGAGTTGGAAGAGGAAAGCTGTGGAGACCTGCTCCTCCAGTAACCAGCTCCTGGCTGCAGGTTAGTACAATAAAGCATTAAAAGTGTAGGCTGTGAGAAGCTAGGCGGGGCCAAACAAAGGAAAATTCTGTCTCAAGCTTGTTATTCTGCTCTCTAACGGGCTTTTTCTTTGTTTTGCCCCTCCAGCTAGAAGAAAGTCCCAGGGAAATCAGGAACATGCAGGAATGCAAAAGGCTTGGCCAGTGCATGATGAAGTTTAGGTATAAGAGCTGAAACGGTGCTGTGTGAGATTAACACGATTCTCCCAACAGGGTTTCCACCTTCACTCAACTACTGTACTGTAAACGATAAGGCTTCAATTTTTCCTTCCTGTCCATATATTTCATGAAAAGACCAAAACCAACATATATGTTTGAGTCTGTCTCTTAATGCTTCCCTCCTCTGCCAGGGCTCTCAACCCCAACCTCATTGGTTCCTGCTGAAGATGTGAATTTAAAAAAAAAATAACAGCTCACAAATACAGAGTTTCAGTCTTATAAAGGCTCAGCTCTTTCTTAAACAGCTCCTCACTGTACATTTGCACAAGTGTTACTCAAACAGGGTGAAATAGTGACAAAAAGAGATAGAATATGTAAACTTAAACTTCTGGGATTAATGATTTTTGATATTCTCTGACTTTTTGTACACTGAACAATTAAGTGATTATTAAAGAAAATATTTATCAGATAATTGAAATAGTTGGATGCAGCTTTACAGTTCTCCTATGATGGAATAACATGGAATGACCTTTCTGTAGGTTTACTCTGTATTAATTTCTTGACACAGAAAAAATTGAAGCAATTAAATGCAATTAAAATGAGCTCAACAAAAACTTAACAAAATGAAGGTCTTAAAACTTGATTTTCACACAGAGACCCTCCTTAAGACTGGAGGATGGAGGGCCCGTCATAGCTCATACTGTACTAAAGTGGGGCAAATCTGTTAATCAAATTATGTAGACCCACATTATAAGGATTGAACCTGGGGCTCTTGGGGCTTCATGGGATCTCGGACCACTGGGCAGTTGCCCACTTTGCCCAGTTGGTGATCCAGCCTTGGGTCCATGGGAGCCCTTTCTTGTGATTTAAGGTGAATGGAGGCATTAATACACATTTACTTACAGTTGCATTCATGTTTCAGATCCACTGATAGGCCACATGGAGATGGTAACAGAGATTGTGGTTCCCACCGTGTGCACGCTCTGCATCCTCCTCAGTGCAGTCTTCCTCATGTTCCTGCTGCGTGGACGCCTCTGAGAAACACACATACACACACACACATATATAGTGACATCATCTGTCTTTATGAGACGTCAGTAGCCTCGAAGCTGAAGACATGAATCTGAGAGTGACTCCGCTGCTGTAAAACTTCACCCTGTCAAGAGCATTTTGTTGATTTAACTGTTCTGCTGCTCTGTTTGGAATAAACAGACTCTTTTTTCAGGTTGTTATTATAAAATTAAAACAGACAGAACGTGTCATGACTCTGGAAGAATCAATTCAAGCTTGGTATATGATTATTATAATTATTTTTATTTTATAACAAACTGGTCTTGTGTGGTTTTTGATGTAGCTAAGTTTTATAGGCTACTCAACCTAACTGCAGAGAGGAGTTGGTTTATTGTCAAGAAGTTGTAAAATAAAGAAACAAGAATGATGGAGATAAAGTGTTGTACTCTCTGTGGATCATTAAACTTCAATTAAATACAAATACACATTTTTAAGACTAGGATGGTGAGTCGTCATTGTGTGACAAGGGTTTGCTCTTCATTCACAGAAACGTTTTATCCTTCAAATTAAAAGCCCCAGATATGTGAGAAATGACTATATGGCAGCTAACACACTGAAAATCATAATAATTATTATCATGGTGAGGCGTCTTTGAAGTAGAAACTATATTAGATAGTTATATATTCCCATTTTCATTTATATTTTCCTCCTACATAATGGTTTTAAATGCATGTTCAAAGCCCACTCCACATTGTCAGCACTTGAAGTTTCCAAGTCTCCAAGTTTTGGACTATCAACCTAAAAAACTCACTTATGATCACTTACTGATTTATGTGTAATTGCAGACTTCCTGCTCAAGTTGTTAAAAGAAACCCTGTAAAGAGCCTCCAGCTCAGATAGTTGTGTACCAGTGGGTTTAAACTATGACACCTTCCAAATGTAAGATGTGCTTGAGCTTTATGAGGTTTAACTTGTGAGCTCTTTTACAAATAATATTTTAGGCTGCCACTTGTTTTGGAATTTAAATGAATTATCTATACTGTAAATAAAATGGTAGGACAAACAACCACATACATGGTTGATCTAACTAATGTTAGAGAGAGACAAAATTGATGTTTTCTGATGTTGTTTTAGAGCCTTACATTTCATATAAAGGTAGGTTTGTTAATACTAGATGTGTAGTTTCATTTATAAATCTGGATTCGTTTTATATGCTCCGTATATAATGTCTCCATAGTCACTATTCTAACTAGTGTTAGTTTGGGCTAATTCCTGATGGACTTTATTTTGAAAATAAAAATAAATGCCAAGCCGCAGACCGGAAGTCTATGTCGCTAGCTTTGCACTACTGGTTGCTTCGCTCACCGGACAGTTCGTGACTGGTATGACAATTTAGTTGCATTTCATTAACAACTATGTGGTATTTTATAAGCTATCACAATGTTGTAGGCTTGTGGTTTGAGTAATGTTTTACTATGTCGATGTCAGCAGTAAACTTACATGTTAGCTAACTTATCCCAGGTCGCAGTTAGCTCAGCATTATCCGCGCGGCGTTTACTCTTTTACAGCTACAAACGTTTCTCAGAAATAAAGTTGGTTTGGCTCAGCGTTCAGACAAAGACGTGAATGTCCTTCTGACGCAGGTTGCCATCTTTTCCTGGCCTCTCTGAGAGATGGTTAAACACGAAAAATAGGTTCAGTTAAGTTACAGTTTGTATTGTAGCAGCTTGTTGATTTTACCGCCTTCCTGTGGCTGAAGCGGTGGTCGACCGATATATGCCTTTCCTTGGCTGATACCCTGTACGAACTGAGGAGGGGCGATAATTGATATCGGGGCCGATAATCTTAAATTGAAACAACACTGAATTGAGCTGATTAACAGCTTCAAGTTCTGCAGTTATTGAAATAAGTCAAGGTTTATGCACCACTTGTTGGTGTAAAAGTTGTTAAGACATCCTACTTAAAGCTTTAATGCTGTTTAACACCCATTTTCAGATGGACTTTTCTGTTGTTTAGATCAAGTAATGGTGATTTCACTCTGTTTTTTCCATTGAGACACAAATAACTGAGGTCTGATTAAGTAAGTTTGACACAGGTGCTTAAGAAACACTCAGTTGCTCAGTTCCAGTTACTTTTAAACCCGTAAACGTTGGGCACTATTTGTTAAAAGGGCGATATCTCAAATAGTTCTTTCTACATTGATGTAAAGCTACTTGAATTAAAGCTGAGCCTTTAATGTAACATCCATTATTTAATTTTAACTTGAATGTACTGATGTACAGAGCCTGAAAAACAAAAACCTCTGCATCTGTCCAAATACTTACGGCCTGGACTGTAGCAGTCAAATTAGTATGAACTGATACATCTTTTACTTTTCTTCCAGCAGTTACACACCATGCTTGACCCGGTGGAAAATGGCCTGTCTGACTATGGTGGCATAGAGGAGGATGAAACTTTCCCTCCCCTTCCTCCACCTCACTCCCCAGGCCTGGGAGGACAAGAGGAGGGAGACCCTTTTGCAAATGGTGAGAAGAAATATTATAAGAGAATATTTAACATTTTAGTTCAGTTTACTGTATACTGAGATATTGAAACAAATTGTAGACTTATGGTAAGTTCATTAGAGGAAGGTGACTACAACTGTAACACCCACAGAGAGTAATTGGTAGATTTGATTTGAGAAACCAGTTTCTACTCTGCCTTCCTGAAGTTTTTCTGTAGAGTAACTGTCAACAAAGTGATGTTAACCGCCTCTCCTACTACGTGTGGTGTTATTGATGCAGGGGAGGAAGAAGGTGACGTTTCCAAGCTGGCTGAGGTCCCTGCTGCTAAAAGGAAAGGAGTGAGGAGGCCACAACCCAAGCTGGACTCTCAGAGGTGCTTCAGACTTCAGTGCTTTCACATTCAATGTATTAAATTGCAGAATAAAAAAAGTATGTTGTGTTGTCAGCGGATAAGGATGTGACAAACTATGATTAGAGCTTGTACTTTTATTGTTTGCAACACAGTGGAGCATTTAACAGGTAAAGAGCCAGCCAGATATTTCCCTCGAGAGCTGGTTGAGACCAAACACAGAGGTAAAACAAGAGAGAATAACGGAGTTTAGAATTAAAACTTTTGCATTTTTCTTCAGGCTAATCTCAGAAAGAGGACTTCCCGCTCTGCGAACACTGTTTGACAATGTCCATTTTAAAGGCAAAGGACATGAGGTAAGAACTTACAAAAGATCAGTGAATATAGCTAAATGCAGTAGACAGCTGTGGAATAGTTCCTGTTGGCTGTACGCACTCATGTCATATACAGTGGGATCCAAAACTCCATGATGTGTTTGTGTTTGTACAATCAGGCTGCAGACCTGCGGCTGCTGATGCAGAAGATGGAGAACTGGGCCCACAGGTTGTACCCCAAACTGCAGTTTGAAGACTTTATTGACAAAGTGGAGAAGCTCGGCAACAAGAAGGAAGTGCAGGTGGGATGAGCATGATGATGCTCAAAAGATGTTCATGAAATAAACAAGATTTCTACAGTGGGTGCATCATTAGTAACTGTTTGCCTTTTTTGTGTGTGTGTTGGCAGACCTGTCTCAAACGGATACGACTGGACATGCCACTGACAGATGAAGATTTTATGGGGAAAGATGGTAAGAGATTAAAGACACACTAGTGATACAGGGATACAAGTGATTTGTGTTCAGAAATGATTTGAAACAAGCATTGTAGAGACCCTTCAGGCAGGGGTTAAAATCCCGCCTTTCAAACTGCTGGTAAAATGTACATTTGGTGTATTAACTGAGTCGCCTGCTGCACCGGCCAAATGTATGAGACGGTACCTTCCTTTTATTCTGTGTAGACAATTTTATTTATGTAGCCCAGTCTCACAAATCACAAATTTGTGGTTTCATGATCTGTAGAACATACAACACTCTCTGTCCTTAGATCCTCGATCCAGATAAGATACAAATCCTCAAAAAACAAGTTATCAGAGTAATGAGACCTTTTTCAAGTGTTATTTGTTTAGCCTTGTGATGAAGCCCTCAGGTATGAGGCCACACAAAAATAAAAATTGTATGAAAGGTTCAAATTTACACTATAAATTCTCAGTCGTATGAAAAATTGTTGTGGTGTAGGTGAAGAAGGGACAGCACCTGAGTTGCAAGTATTCGGAGATCCTGATCCATTCAGTGGCATGAGCTTCTCTGATGACGTACAAGTGCCAGACCACTCTACCCCAGCTCGAGCTGCCCCACCTGCCCCCTCCCCAGCTGCCCCCTCCCTTACCGAGGAGCAGCGCAGACGCATGGAGCTGAACAGACAGCGCGCCATGGAGAGGAGGCTCGCCCGCCAGCAGCAGCAAACAGGTGAGAGGCACCTCCTCAGTCCAGTAATGGAGAAAAATCACCAACATGAAGCCTGTGGTGCAGCTTCCAGTAAGTCAGTGTAGCTGTATTTGGGCTGCGACTAATGATTATAATTATCAGTCAATGTTCTGGTCACTTTCTTGAGTCATTGTGGAGTCAACAAAACCCTAAACAATTCAATTTACAATAATATCAAAAAAGAAAAGCTCAAAATCTTTACATTTGAGAAACTGGAATCAGGAAATGTTTGTTCGCTTAAAAAAAATTACTTAAATGATAAATCGATTATCAAAATTGCTGCTGATTAATTTAACTAGTCACTCAACTTATTGTTTCACTATAATTTTTATATTTTGGGAACACTGCACTAAAATGCATCACAGCTCCAATTAAATCAGGCATAAAGCTGTATTTTATGGTTTCATCTTCTTGAATATGAAGATTTTTATTTGTCACTGTGACTGTTGGCTGGACAAAACAAAACTCTGGGAAATTTTAGAGGGCATGCTTCACAATTTTTTGACATTTTATAGACAAAAGTGATTAATTCTGAGAATAATTGTTAGATGCAGCCCGTAATCAGGAGCTGTATGTGCAGCCTCTAATCTTTTTAATCTCGATGCCATTGCGTCGTTCTCCTCCTGTCTAGATCTCTCAGACTCTCAGACTGTTGACACACCCACATCAGGAGAGGAACCCACACCTGTCTCTTCTGCAAATATCCTCAACAATTCTGACGATCGAGGTGAGGAGGTGGAGCATTTAGACCTGGAGCCAGTCGGCGGCAGCAGCTCTCAACAATCAGGCCAGCTTCCAAAAAAAGACTCTGAGCCTTCAGCTGAATCCAGTCAGCGTGAGGAGGAAGAAGAGACCAGCCGCGACCCTGACCACCAACCCAGCGACAGGTATGAGGATGGAGACTGATGCTCAAGGGCAGCACACACTCTTTGTGGTTAGGAGTGTCGCCTGTATGGCTGAAGCTGTGGCAATGAGCTTTGTGTGAGTATGTGAATGTGTGAGAGAGTTCTTTGTAGTCTGTAAAGAGCCAAACCAATATGTTCCTGTCACAGCTGCCCATTTGTGGGTAAAGCTGAACATGAAAGACCTGTTCAGTTTTATATCTGAAATACATAATTAAACTCTGATTACACTACTTTGAGTTTTGAAGTGTGCATGTAAGTATAAGTTTCCAGTGTTAACATGCTGACCGATAAATCATTCCATTAACATGAGCTTTTTCTTTTACCCGTTGAAAACTGTAAAAAATGTCTATCAGAGCTTCCTTAAACCCAACTTGAAATCGTTATGTCCAAATCCCAAAGATATTCAGTTTACTATCACTTTTCTCTCCAGGATTCACCATTGGCAGAATTGTGAAAATTTGCCAAGTCTGTCAATGTCTGATAATGACTGATAATTTCATCAATTAAAACAGGGTCTAACTAGATGCCTAAATCATAAGGGTCATGTTAGGTTGCTGCCTCGTTAATGGATGTGATTGCTGTTGTTCATTTAGTAACGAAATCAGTGCAGTGTGAACGGTCTTTGAAGTAACATGTTAAAACTTTCTTGGTTTGTCACTTGTGGAGCATAAACCGATGAATCGTCAAAAACAGTGTGATCATAAATTGTTTTTATCATACTTTTTTTTTTTTTTTCTCAAATGCAATCAGTAACAATAAATAATTCCTTCCAAATGAATCTCATGTTTTCATTCACACACTGTAAGATGATCTATTAAAAGTCAAAATGTTTAATTACAAAACAGCTGCATGTCCATCACACAGGTCACTCACACTCTTCACACAAACAACTGTGTTAAAAATAGATACTACAAGCTACAATAATACTGAGACTAATACATGAATCATAATTAAAGCAAACATGTGAATCAATGAAGCTCAACTTTTCTTTGTCCATGTTATAAGACATTTTAACCCTGAAAAAATCTTTTTGTTGCTTCATTAATTCTTCATATTAAACTTTAGTTTATATTAAGAATCTAATTCATGTATCAGTATCTGCTTATTTACATCAGTAGACTCTTAAAGTGTCACCAGTTTTATGAAAACAGCTGCAAATCAGTTTGTCTGTGTGTACATTGTTTTCTCATCCATGACAACATCACCTCCTCATAACTAGAGCTATTCTATAATTACTGTGACTTTAACTACAATTCATTTCTATTTATTATTACCAGTGTATTCATTTTTGGACTAATGTGCACAGAAACTCTACAGATAATAAGTAACTACAAATCTGCCATCAAAACGATGATGATGATTCAAAAATTACTTGAGAAATGTTCATTTGTAGAGGAGGCTCTTCAGATGTCCACGAGATGTTCAGAGTCGTCCATGTTGTTCAAAAACTCGCCAGGCTTTCCTGTGTCCATTAACTCCATTAACAGCCGATCTATGCCGTTGTTGCACAGACCTGAGGAACCATTTCCAGGTCCATCAGAGCCAGCTCTCTGACCTCCTCCAGCAGCGAGTACAGATTTGGAGTTTTGCTCTGGCAGAACTCTCTCTCCTCTTTGGAGAATTTGGTTAGCCGGGCCGCCTTCTCCTGCGACTGCTGGTACGCCTCCTCAGCCAGACGCACCACCTCCTGGACCAGCTTGCAGCGGCCCTGTGAGCGTGGCTCCTGGTGCTCGGCGCTGTGGTAAGGCTTGTTGCTGATGACCTCTAGGTTCAAACGGTCTGCGTGGCAGTGGAAGGACTGGACAGAAATACGGACCTGTGGAGAGAAGAGGAGGCAAATGTCATCAGCACCCTCCACAGACTGGAGCCTGATACAAACCCACATTAAACACATCACTGAAACAAAGAGAACCTGCAAGTGAAATATCACTTGGGTCTGATGTAAACATCTGAGCCTGTCCCTTCTCTCTGGGTTCGTAGAGGACAGTGCCAAATGACCATACAACTTCACTTAAAGTCGGTAGACAATAACAGACTGGATTATTGTCCAGTCTTTGAGTGATAAATCTGTCCTGCGACTCACGGTGATGTGGTCAAACAGTCTGAAGGTGGAGGTGCCACAGCTGGAGGTGGTGGTAATGTGGTCAGCGTGTCGTTGCACTGAGCCACTCTGCCACTCACAGCTGCCGTCCTGTGCTGAAGCGACCACCTGGCCCTCCCGATTCTTCATATACACCGGCGCCTTCACACCGTACCTGTGGAGAACACAGGTGTAGTCAGGATGGTTGAAACCTGGATTTTTATTTACATTATCACAGCAGATTTATAACATTTTCATTAAATGACTATGTAGTTATGATAACTACATGATTAAAAAAGCATCGACAACCAAAATAAAACCCAAGTCAGTTTCTCACTCTGGGACAAACGCCAACACGCCGTTGTCTCGGATGGAGTAAATGACAGCGTTGGCCACGCAGCGCTCGTCCGTCTGAGGGTCTCTTTCCTTGAAGTAGAGACACTGAAACAACTCTGTGGACAAGCTCTGAGCTTGCTTTGCTGCCTGCAGGGGTCAGAGCCAAGAGGAGAATGAGTTTATTTCATCGAGTAAGAAGTGAACAAAGATACAGAACTACAGAGCAGCACTGACCCTGTTCCTGCTGTTGATGTGCTGAGCCATTTCCTCCAGTTCTTTGTTACCGGCTAATGCTTTACCAACGTCTGTTCCCCTCTCAGTGGCGATGGCTGCGGTGAGAAGGCGGTGGACCACGATGTCGGCGTAGCGGCGGATGGGTGAGGTGAAGTGTGTGTAGCGGTCCAGAGCCAGACCTAATAGACAGAAAACAGACATCAGCACCGTTTGTCAGTATAAATTATAATTTTTAATCTTCATGTTGTTCCACTAAATAATACAATAACAGCTGATGATGAGTGTTATCTATTGTACCGTAATGGTAGTACTGGTCCACGGACTGGGCACCAGTGGAGAAGTATAGAGCCTGTGACATTGCATGGGTGGTCATCATTCTCAGCAGCCTGTTCACCAGCGGGTCCTGTGGGTCCACAGCCCGGTCCAGAGACTCAGCCAAAGCTTTGTTGGAACTGAAGAAACAGAATCGACTGTTCAAATACGTCACTCTCTAATCTGTAGATTCTCAATGACGGAGAAGTTTTTTTTTTTTTACTGCATGAGAAATGACTCAAAACAGCCTCCACACACTCTTAAAATCCTAAATCAGTCACCTGGTGTCAATGGTGAATCCCTTGGCCCTGGCGCTTTCCACCAGCTGGCTGAAGATCTCCTGCCGTGCTGGCGGGTGACGCCTCAGCAGGGCCTGGTGAGGGAAGGTCTCCTGGATCTTGCGTGCCACCCAGTGGTTGGCGTAAATCATGCACTCAGCCACGGTCTCGTGGACCTCCAGGGGCTGACGTGGGACCAGGGCTGTGATGTTCCTCTCCTCGTCGAGCTGGGCACGCACCTGAGAGGAGAGAAAAGGTTTTATTTAAATGTGAAAGACCTGAAATTACAGAAAACATGCCCAAGGGATGAGGACTGAAAAATATACAACAACAAATGAGGAGGAACCAGGCACACCTCCACCCCCTCCAGCTCCAGCGCTCCTCCTCTGTCCCTCTGCGCTCGGAGATGTCTGGCTACATGTGTGAGCATCTCCAGAGCCTGGGTGAGCTGAGCCAGCTTTTCGTCCTTCTCCTCAGGGCCAAGCTGCGCCAGCTCCGGGACTTCGGCTTTCTCTCCGTTGACGAGCGCCTGGGCCAGCTCGTAGTGGAGCTGGTAGGAGGAGCGGATGAGCGTGCGACCGTACCACACCTTGTTGACAGCGAGCGTGTGTGCGTCAAGCTCCCACAGCACGCTCATTGCATACCTGGATTTGAGAGGGAACTCGTGTACATAAACAAATAACAGATTGCATGTTTTGTGTATGTGTTTATTTAACTAAATGCCTTCGATAACACGATGCACTGCAGAGAAACCTGAGTCCACTGACCTGTCGACTCCTCCCAGCAGAGAGCAGAGGTCTGCGCTGAGAACAGCAGGTAACATGTCGTACCTGCGGTCTGCCAGGTAGTAGGTCGTAGCCCTGAGGAGGAAAGAGAAGAATAAAGAGAAACAGTGTCATCTGTGTCTTCTCTCCATGGAGGAGTCAGTGTCATAAAATATTCACTTTGGTCCCCTGGTTTTTCCACCTCCTTTGTATCATTTTCATCGCTGCCTTTATTTGGACCCTTAACAGTGTCCCAGTAATTACTGATGATACCAGGTGCTTCATGCATGTACAGAAAATACAATACAATGAAATACAACAGGAATTTCAGGGAAGACTAAACATAGAGAAATAGAATAAAATAAGAAAAAACTTCAGCCTATACAGGTGGGTTTTTAAAAGCTTTCTAAAATTTGTGCTGCTTCAGCTGATCTAATGCTGGAAGTTCATGGAGCTAAAACAGTAAATCCGTGACAGTCTAGACTCCCCTTTTGTCTAGAGTCTAGACAAAAGGGGAGTCTAGACAAAAGGGGAGTCTAGACTGTGGAACTTGAAGGGTCTTGTTGCAGGAAAATGCTTAAAAGATCAGAAATATACAGCAGAGATGAAACATATTTTATCTGAACTGATTTCTAAAAGAAACAGGGAGCCAGTGTGATCCATCCAGGACTGGAAAACAGTGTTTAGTGTTTGACAGAAGCCTCGCTGCTGCTGAATTCTGCACCAACTCTAGACAGACAACTTATTTCCCACCCCTGCACAAGGACAAACATGTACAATATATGCAAGGGACAGACAAAATAATAGATACATTACCACACAGAACTGAGACTGTCAGAGGCAGCTCAGTGAGGCACAGATTTACTAAGAAAATAGCACTGTGCAAATGTGCACTGTTCTCATTGAGCTGAATATATTCAGGGTCTGATTTACTATGAAAATGGCTCATTACGCAGTCAGCTCCTGGACTTCAGGCACAGCTGCTCAGAGAGGAGAGCAGATGGAGATGCAGTCGAATACAAACTTCAGTGTCTTAACTGAAGGAGAAAAGATTTAATGGCACTCGGAAGTGATTTTAGAGGTAGCTTAATTAATGGTTTATATTCAGGTTTGATGAACAGACACCATAATTAAAATAGTCAAATTACTTAATTGCTTAATTTCTCTCTCTAATAATTTGTAATCAGTATACACAAGTCTATGCTTAGTTCACATATTTTCCCACTTTAACCTTTGGCTCATGTAAATCCACTTTATTCTGTTTACACCTGCTTTTGAGAGGTGGAGAATTTTCACTGCAAAACTGACCACTGCAAATTGCTTGAGCTCTGTAAATCCAGGGTAATAACCACCCTCTGTTATCATGTCTCTAATTATCTGCATGATCTTCCCTTTAATGACTGTGCCATAAGGTGACAGGTGCATCCTGTTAACACCTGAAAAACAGATGTGAAAGCCTTTGTAAATCTGGCCCCTCCCAGTTGCTCCTTTTCCCCTGGTATTGTTTTATTCCACCTCTTCTATAATCCAGCTGGCTTCTCACCTGGTGCGTGCTTCCAAGTCGGTGAGGGAACCCTCTGTGACAAAGTGGGTGACATCGGCGATGTGGACCCCCAGCTCCAGCAGCTCCCCGCCAGCGAGGCTGCGCATCGACACCGTGTCGTCTACGTCCTCGCAGCCCTTTGGGTCGATGCTGAACACCAGGTGAGTCTGCCTGAGGTCCCGCCGCTCTGTCACCTGGGCGGGATCCACCTTCCACGGTTTGTCAGGGGAGTTGACCGGCATCTCTCTCAACTGAGGACGGACAGACAGTCACAAATAAAAACTCAAGGTTACATTAGGCATTCAAAATCTCACAAAGGCTGCTGTGCAGTACTTGAGCCAAAGTGAAGGGACACGTATGAATTATTTATTTCGCCCGTGCTTTGTTCTGAGAAGAGACAGTTGGATACTGTGTGCTATGCAGAGACACACGTCTTTCATCAGAGGGCATTTTTTACAAAATAAAATGAGCAACATGAATCTGAGTTGAAAGAAGAGGTGATTTAATTCTGTTAAGTCCTTGGATTGTCTTATGAAAGAGGAAGCAGATAAATAGATGCACTGAAAAGGAAATGAGAAATAATTTCAACAAGGCTGCTCCCTTACATTACACACACACACACACACACACACTCACTGCTGAATAGCTTTCAATGCTCTGCGTCCTCCAGACTCTTATTCAACAGTTAACTCGTCCTTGTTAAGTAAATGTGCTTTACCAACAATGGGAGGCACCAGCGCTGTGTTCAGGGGCCTCTGGGTGGCAGTGTCCCCCCATGTTTGCTCACAGTTATCATTTATTTTAAAAGGACCCTGAGAAATTTTCCTGTAAACAAAAAGTGATGCTTACACTCTGAGTCCCTGAGGCATAAAAAACCCAACGAAGGCATTTCCTTCCTTATAAAATCGTTGCATTGGTTCCCTCTCTGTAACTGAATCAGTCTGAATTAAGATTATTTTATTTACAAGTCATATGTTCATCTGATTTTATGGTTATTTTTTCGATTAAGTGATTAATTGTTTCATTGAAATTGTTGAGTTATGACAGAGAAGCTGTTCACTCTGTTCATGTGAGAAGCTGGGACCAGAGCATGTTTGAATAATGAATGAAACCAATAATCAATTATCAAAATACTTGTCAATTTCTTTTTTTGTCCATCAACTAATCCATTAATCACTTCAGTTTCACCTCTCGTGACTGGCTGCTGAAAAAAGTGAAACATGTAGCAGCTAAAGATGCAGATGTTTTTCTCTGGAGCTCCTAGAAATCAAAAAATATTGAACTTATGTTTGTCAGGTGGCCAAAAATACAGGACTGTGTTTGCTGAACGTGTAAACACAGTTGTGTTAACAAAAAAAAGAAGCCCCTCTCCTTAAATTCGACATATGCATGTGATCTCAGAAGGAGCTTCTTCTCTCACCTGTGCATCTGAGAAAGGAGGCACGTGGATGCAGTTCTCTATGAGGATGGTATGGACCTCCGTCTCCAGCTCTCCAGCCCGGCCCAGAACCCGCACGCTGTGGCCATTGGGATAGAGCGACGTGCTTTCCCATGAGTCAATGCGCACCACCACTCTGTGATCCTGGGTGAAGAAAACACAGGAATTACACGACCTCACCTACGTCTGTTTATGTTGGACAATGATGATCAAATGAAGCTCAGATTATTGGATTTTTTGATAGATATAATAATGTGACACTGTTATTACTGGCCCAAATGAGGAGGGACGTTTCTGGTTGAGTAAATAAATGAGCAGCCAGTGGAAGGCGAACCGCACCTGCAGAGCATCAGCCTGCTGAGTACTGATACGGATCTTGGGGATGCGATGGTCCCAGGGCACAGCAAGGATGCGCTGGGAGTTCCTGCTCTGGGACTGAGACCCGTCCCTGGGGGGGAAAGTTACCACGTAGTCCCTCCAGTTCCTCTGCTGGATCCCAACGACGCGGCCTGCAAGTTAAAATAACCAGAGATCTATAGTGACACTTTTTCTACCAGAGTAGTCAGATGATACCAGATGCAGTGTATTGGGACTAAGCATTGATCAAAATTCACATTTCACACATTGTTTTAAAATTAAAAAATACATAAAATGAACTAATTAAATAGAATTAAAACTTGTTTGTAACAAATTATCTAACCTCAAAGATCCAATTACTACCTTTCACAGGTTTCAGCTGAATCCAAGTTTTCACACAGTGAATGGAAGTGGACCTTTGAGTCAGATAAACTGTTAGCAAAGGTCAAGGTTGAACTTCAATGATGCATTTGTGAAAACTTGCGTTCAAAAGGTACCATGGGGTGTTTTCGATCAACACCATGAATAAAATGTTTGATGGGTCCCGGTTTTATTTGTATCAAACATGCAGGTGAAGTGATACAGATTTCTGTCACACCAGCAGTTCTCAGGAAAGACGACTGGATATAAACAACTCAGGTTGTTTCAAGGCGTTCATGTTGTTCTTTCGTGAAAAACATTGAATGCAAAGATAACTGTTAAAAGGAAAATCTGACGTGGTACCTTTTTAAAAACGAAAAGTTTTCATTTTTCCAGGGTTCATCCAAACATGTTGTCTATCAAAGCAGTTAAAAGTAGATGAACTGTGTTGCAGAAGAGAGGAGGAAACAAAACATTGAAAATAGCATAAAAAACTATGTGGGTGTTGCACCTCGATTTATCTAAACAGACACAGGAATTCAGGACAAGAACAATTTTGTGTTGAATACATTTTGTTATATCCTGTTCAGTAAGAAGCAAGCAGACAAACAAACGGGACAGAAAACACACATCCTTAGTGGAGGTAACGATGACTCCACGATGGACGTCCCACCTGTCGGCAGTAGTTTAGACTCGTTGTCCTCTCTGCTCTTCTCCTCTCCCTGACCCTCCGTCAGCGCTGTGATCTTCCCTCTCCACTCGCTCTTTGGCAACAGCTCTACCACAACTGTGTCGCTGTGCACGGCTCTGTTACGATTCTTTTCACCGTGCACCAATATGCGACTCATATCTGAGGAGGGGGGGGGGGATTTGATAAAAAAAAAAGAAGAAGAAACAAATTCAGTCAACAGAGATGAGATGTGTGTTTGTTTGTAGTGAATGGTCGTGTGAATGTGCCTGTGGCCAGCGCCAGTCCTAAATAAACATCGCCAGAAGAGAAAGTTGTGATTGTTGCTGTAGTTTTGCACCTGTGCTCTTGTTAGAAAAACTCTCCATCATGATAAAAGCTTCAGTCTGTGCTCGGTGTTTGCTGACATTCAGAGTGCCCTGAGAAAAAGGAAGGAAAAATGGGATTTATTTTGATTTTGGGAACATTATCAAGTTTGATTCATCAGTCTGTTAAGAATAAAATGTCCTTTGGGATGTTTAATTATATTCACGCTCTTCTTGACGCATTACTGAGCCTGCCCCTAGCACGAGTCCTCAATCAGCCCCAGAGCTCTGGAGCTGATGATTGACAAAGACTTCCTGAGTAACTACAGACAGTCTTCATTTCTTTTACTACTAATTTCCTGTTGAACATCATAACAGATTTTTTTTTTTTTTTCTTAAAAGGAGAGACTCTCTAGACATAAACCAGGTTGGTGGATTTGCAGTGTACCTGATAGTACCGTCCAGACTTGATTCCAGCCTCCAGGACTTCAGCCGGTAGATGTTCGCCGTACTCTCTCTCCTTGCCCTCGCTCTCCTTCTCTTGCAGTGCCTGAGAAATGGAGCTGTACAGCTCATGGGCCGCCTGCAGCTCCGGCCAGAAGTTTTGCAAATAATCCTGAATAAAGACAAATAAAGAGACACATGGGTGAAGACATTTCTGGAACAGTAACTGGCATTATGGATCTGATCAGGGTCTTAACTGAGGTGTTAGATAACAATACATGACAATTATGAGATAATCCAGGTTTTCATGTAGAATTCTGTTTTGAAGGCAGGACACTTATTTCTATTTTTTTTTTACAATAATGCAGTTTCAGACTCAGGGTTAATATTTACAATGAATTACTGTTCCAATGACATCCCTGCAGGGGCCTAATTCCTGGTTATTTTACACTCAAATTCAGTTGAGTCAGCCACGAGTTGCGAAGTAGCAGGTTTTCTTTCAACGATATCCTAAATACAGACGCCATTAAAGGCAAATGGATTTTTTTTTTTTTTGCCAGGATCATTTTTCAAAGTTTCCATCTATTTACCTGCTTTCACAGATGAAAAAAATCCTGGCAAAAAAAACAAAACAAAAAATACATCTTTCATTTGCCTTTCAGGGCTTCTGTCCCTAAATGCCCTTCATCTCCTGGATAATTTAACATAATATAATGGGTGCTTATTAAAGCCACGTGTTTTAATTATGTCAACGTCATTACTTAGAAAGTGTTTTTCCGTTAGTGTAGGATGGCACACTTTAAATACTTTTAAATACTACAATACCTATCATCCTCTGCCTTTACTGCTCTGACGAAGCCAATCAGAGGCGAAAATTCTAAGCTGCATCCTGTAAATCTATTTAATACTGCAATAACTCCATGATGATGTTTTAGCTGCGGTAGCAAGACCAGCCCCTCATCTTCTACATAGATAAGACAAATAAATGACCGCTCTTTTCTCAGAATCAGCTGTTTACAGAACTTCCATGAGGCGATCTTTGATTCATCACAGCCTCTCGTGTTAAAACAACTCTTAACGCTCCACTGAGTCATACTTTAACCACTTCATCAGGATTTTAGACCAGCCATAAAACTTTACTTTTTCCTGACATTTTTTCCCTCCACTGCACCAATAGCATATTAGTTGTCAAGCCGCTCAGTGGAGCGATATGGATGGAGCATATACACGGCATGGCGATGCAAGACAATTAGGCAGTACACAATCACTTCGGCAGTCGGAGCAATCCATGACATTCTGTTGAGTAAATAAGAATTATAATAAACAATTAAGAGACTGTTTGGACCATTTGGAAACAAACTTGATAGATTATTGATGTAAATGTGAAAGATTTATTTGTTTGCTTTGTAGACCTCAGTCTGTTGCTACTGCTCCATTTAATTTGACTCATTTACTTTGAGGAATGTAGTTATGAGAGTTATTTTTGCAGTTTCCATATAGCGTGGGTACTTGTCCTTGTTGCTATTATTGTTATTAGTAGTTTTATTGCTGTTCATTTTTGTTGTTATTGTCTTGTTCCCCTTTGCCTTGGAATAATTTACATTATTGTTTTGGATTATGATGTAATATTTACCCCAGGAAGAGTAGTTGCTACCTTGGTAGTGGCAAATGGGGATCCAAGTAAATGAATAGATCAATTAAAAAGTAATGACACCAATGTGATCATCAAATAAACTGCAGAAATCTGGAAATATGGGTTAGACAAACTTATATGTTGGAGAAAACAAGGGGAAACTATCCACTGCATACACACAATTTTCCTGTGCAATGACCTTTTATTATCAACACTTTCAGTTTTACCTGCAAATAAAGTGGCTCAGACACGATCTGATCATACAACTGTTTGCATATCTTGACATCTTTTTAGTGATGTTGCTGTGTGGATAGCACAATATCATCATATAGGATAGAAACTATGGCCAAAAATATGAAGAGACACAAGAATTATCCTTTAAAAAGGTATTAAAATTAGTTATTGTTCTAAGTGTTTGGTTTGTTCTCATGTAAAGTGTAAGAGTCAAACATATTTCATTGTTTTACCATTTTTATATCCCGACTTGTGTTAAATCCTCAACAATCAAATCAGATTAACTCAGTTCCAGAGCTTTCGATTATATCAAATCAGAACTTCATCAAGAAGATCAAGATCATGTGATATGATTGAAAGCTCCAGAGTAGCTACTGAATTCAGCTTGACGAGTTCGCTTCCTCGTATTGATTTGAACCATGTTGTATAACTGTTACAGAAAACACCAAAACTTAGTAAAAGGATTAAAAACAGAGTGTTTCTTGTCGAGTAATGTAACGCCCCTGGTCAACACATGCAGCATCTGTACAGCAACACTTCTCTACTGTGTTGGCTCAGTACTCAAACACAGTGGATTCAAAACAAAACGACAGCTCGAGTTAAAGAGCAGAGTCTTAGCTTTAAGGATGTTCACATCAGTGGTGAGTAAACAAAGCAGCAGCACAATTACAAAGCTACAACTCAACCGTATTCACACAAAATGATTGTTAACACCCTCAAATTAAAGCTGAATGTTGGCACTTTAACCTCACAGCTGCTTGTCATGTCAGACCCGACATGCTGGGGCCAAATACTTATGGACTCAAGTGTAGATTAGCCTTAAAGTATGTGTTCAGAGTGGTAATGCACAGGTGTGTCACGTACCTGGACGGAGATGACGTACACTCCAGAGTTGAGGCTGCTGTACTCAGCCACGGCTTCCTGGTCCTCTGTGATCATCACTACATCCATCATGCCTGCCAGATGGTTATAGTACCACACTGCTGCAGAGTACACACACCTGAACACACATATGCAACTTCAAGCACAAGGTGCATGTAGACAGCTTGCTTGTTATAGCCCTAAACTTGAATATATTGCATTTAGTTACTTTGGCACATAAATTCTCACTTAAAACTCAAAGCGATGTTTCAACATTATAAAGAATAGAGACATAAATAATTCACAGCTCTGTGCTTTCAGCTATGTGTCTTTTTTATGCAATAAACTCATTTCATCACAGCAGATTGCACCTCCAGCCTTCCATCCTTACAACTAAACGACAACATGCTGTACAACACTGGTGGACCTCGTCGTCATCAGCCACAGCATTATGACTAAATCTTTATTATAACAAACAATTATCTCTTCTTTCTGTTTCAGATCCAGCCAGTTGCTGAAAGAATGTAAAATCAATACAGCAGAAATTACTGATTAATTGACTGATGAATTATTTGACTAAACATTCATTCATTATTATTTGCTTTCCCTTCACAAGTGCTGAGGTTTGTCTGGTTTTCTGTGTCTCATATCATTTTGATTTGAACTTTGGGGATGTTGGTTGGTGCTCTGACTTTTTGCAGATGAAAATCAATGCACACTTGTCTCCATCACATACACCTGTTCTATCACCTAAGACGACCTCTGGCAGAGCAGTTTGGCAGTTTCAGGATTATTCTATTCCTGAATGGAGGAAAAATATCTGTTTTGTATCTTATGTTCTCAGATCTTCACGGGATATGAGCTCTTCTGTTCAAGACATCTTGACACTTTAGGTAGAAAACAAGTATAATTATTGTCTATAATGAAGTCTACACTGCATATCTGTTATCCTTCAGTCCACCTGCTTCTTGTGTTAGTAAACCTGTTTTATACCTTGAGTGGAAGAAAAACATCTTTGAAAATACTGAGATTGGCCCTTCAACCCTCAAGCACCTATAGACACAAGTCATTGCAAATGTTTGTTTGCAGAGTAATAATGCAGAGTTTGTGCATTGCTAATCTGCATTTTTAAACATCTAACATCTTTCATCTAAAATCTACAGGAGGACCCAGAAAAGCAGAAACCTGCATGCACAGTTGTGACTTCTCATACAGTAAGTGAATCCTGTGGTTCAACATTTCTGGAGAGTAACTTTATTTTGAAGAGTTAGCATCTGGAAGCTGTGGCGTCCTGGAGTCTCTGTTGGTTGGTGCCAGCCAAGAAAGAGTCTTTGTAAAACAGCTAATTTAAAAAAAAAATTGAGTATGATTTCTGTGCAGACTAAACAAATGAGACATTTAAATAATGAGCTTTAGAAGTGCTGATAGGCAGATTTTTGTTGCCTTTGGACTGAGACAGATGACCCATTTCTCCCTGTTTCCAGTCTTCAAGCTAAGCTAAGATACCCAGCTGCTGGCTCCACCTACAAATTTACCCTACAGACGTTTAGTGACATTCTTATCAGATAGGGCTGGGTGATATGGTCTATAAATAATATTGTGATATTTTAAATCACTATATCACAATACACGATATATATCTAGATATTTTGAAATCTGCTCTAAAGCACTTCATAAATGCACGATTTAACCCTTTCATGCCTAAAATCACACCAGTATGATGATTACAGTCCCTGCAACATTTGTCTGCATTCAAAACATTATTTTTTACTGTTTATTCATCAGTGGTTTCTATTGGAACAAGTTTGAATTGGCAAAAAGGGGAAATCACAACCAAGTTAGATGTGACCTTTGACAAAAACAGAGCTTCAAGTTCGTCTGCCTCCATCTTCAGGTACCGTTTCTGAACACGTATAAACTCACTTTGGAGCTTCACTTTTTTCACTCCCTCCCTCTCAACTCCAGATACAAAAACACACACCCCTCACCTATGTCAAACACACCCAGGAGAGTTTTCTGGATGGGCGAGGGAGAGAAGCAAAACACCGAAGCGAATTTCATGCCGGCGGCTTAAAACAATTACGTGACAGTTTGTACTCGATGTTCTACATCCCATGTGGAACAAGCCGCGATACATCAAGTACATTGCGATATTGCATCGCCCACCCCTATTATCAAACTCTCATCAAGAAAGCGAGTAAGTGAAGCTCCCAAAATGTCAAAATTATTCTTTTAATTTGACGGTGTAGAATTGTGGGGGTGTAGTACTGGGCTCTGACCTGGTCTGCCACTTCTCTTGGCTCTCCCCCTTCTCTCGTGGACAATAGGAGTACTCTTGAAATTCATTGGCAAACAGAACACAGTCATGTCGAGGGTCTTTCAGCAGGTTTCGCAGACGGTTGTATTGCCTGCACAGAAACAGAGGAAAGAAATCCACCTTCAGACACTCTTAAGGTCCAAATCACAGTGACTTTCTGCTGGGCCATATGTGTTGTTTTTTGGGGTTTAGTATCCTGCCCAGGGACACTTTGACATGCGGACTGGTGGAGCCAGGAATCAAACCAGCGACCTTCTGATTAGTGGCTGATTAATGACCCACTGTACCTCCTGGGCCACAGCCACCCTGAGTTAGAGTTAGATTTAAAATTCAGGCATGACATAAAAGAAAGCTGCACAGAAACTCAAAGGTCATCATACACATGTATTGTGCCAACACACACACACACACACACACACGCTCGTTCCTGTGTGCTCCCTGTGTGTTGAAGTGAACGGAAAACTGCAATTACTGACACAGTATGGCATCAGCATATGCTCTTCCAACTAAGTCTACCTAACAGTATCAAAAGTGAAGCCTCATCATATTAATGATGCAACATTTTAAAAGGCAGTGTAAGCAGAAATCAAAAGCAGAGGTCATGTGGGACTCCTTATAGTGTTCATCAAGTTTGTCAAAAGCACTCCTGCGTGTTTGTGTGGGAGCAGTATTTCAAGTCACAGGCTGGATCTTGTTTAGCTTCGTCAGCAGAGCTTTGATATAATGAGGTTGACCCCCTGCCCGCTCTTTACACACTTGTGCAGGTAGGTTGTCATTAGAGGCTTAATTCAAAATGTCTTGACCACAGGAGCTGTCCTGGAGCCTTCAGTATGCCTGAAGCTCAAATTTTGTATTTGCTGGTAGAAAAACAATCCTGCAGGACCAACCACCATCATGCTTATTTGTAAATAGGACAATTTACAACTGATGCAACACTAAAAAAACTCTCACACTTTATATTAATGCGAGATTAAACAGTATATTGTGTGAATGTTCAGCCTGTTGGTGTGGGTGTACCTGCGTCCTTTGCTGTGATGCACAGCCTGGCAGGCGGTTTGGGTGATGACGATGCCCTGCAGCTCCCTGAACTCCAGGATCTCCAGGTAGTCGACGACCACGCCAGCATCAGGCACCACATAGTGAGTCAGATCTCCTGGCAGCACCTTACCATCTGGTTTTGAAGTAATCAGGGCAAATGTGAAAGATTTTTTGCTTCTGACCCTACTAATACAATGTTTACAAGTGCATCACCAAAAATTACTTGAACTTAAATGCAGGAGTCCATTATTTTTTCATAAACGGTGCAACATTTTTGCTCTTGTATTGTTTTCTACAGCAGGAAAATCCTTGTTAAATGAAAGATTGCAAATTTCCAGTAACTTCAGCATAACCAGTCTTTACATTAATATTAGAGGCTGTTATTAGGAAAGATCGCAGCACATGACCTACAGTTCATCACTAAGTCTGATGATTATTTACTTCTGTCTTTTTGTCTGATTTGCGTCTGCTTTGCTTAATAAAACATACATACAAAATAATGTATATAAAATAAAAATGACCTTGTAATAATTTGCTGGAGTAATTCGTTGCATTCTGACATGTTGATAAAATGTTTTTCTAAGGCAACAACATTAACAAAGAAGCCAGCCACTGACATTACGTTAGATAATCTGCTGTAGCTGTTAGATCTCACCTACTCATGGAAATATGACACCTGCATTCAAATACAAGCCTAAAACGGAGGTAATATTAAACAAATTAAGACTATATTTAAATGAGACCCCCCCCCCCCATTTGACCACTGCTGAAAGTAATACAATGTTTGTAGTTAAACGAATAATGGACTCAGCGATCATTTGGCTGCACCGCGGCCTATTGTCTCAGTCTTCGCTGTATAATTAGCTACAGTGTGTGTATGTGGGTATTCATTGTACAGGTGAATAAAAGGCTGTTTTGTGTGTGTGTGTGTGTGTGTGTGTGTGTGTGTGTACGTTGATCGTACCGTTGACACAGTCCGCCTGACACACACAGCTGTAGCAAGGGACCCGCTCCCTCAGATAATGCTCCCGGACCACACGGACCTTCCCGCCCCGGCAGCTCTTCAAATGCAGAATCTTCTCGGTCTTTATCATCTTCAGGACTCAGGGACGAGCCCCGTGTATCAACCTGTCCTTCTTAATCAGTTCTTTTGTCGTAACGCGGGAAAATACACTTGTAAACATTCACGGCGAACTTCAGGGAAGTGTGGAAAGGCAAGCCCGCTGACGTCATGACGCACAAGCAGGTCCGCCTCTTGCTGCGTTCCAGTGCTGTCGGACATAAGCAAATCATTTACAACGGTGTTGTAAACGCAGGTTCACTTTTTACATTACATTACAATACATTTTAGGCGGGATTGTTGCAAAAGCAATTCCATTCTATGTTTTTCTCAGGATAAAAAAACTTTCGTATATGTTCTTAATGTACCGTTTTTTTGTGGAAATTTTCCCCATTGAAATTAACGTTCAAAATCTCCAGTTTTCACAACTTTTCATAGAGGATCTTCGCTTTTACTCATTCATTCAAAACTTCATTTTTCAACTTCATTTCTGGTTGTATTGGTTTTGTTCAGTTTTACACACACATATGGATATACAAATATATATAAAGTAAATACAATTCATGAAAGAAAATAAATAAATAATTGTTGTATGGAAGCATGTTGAAAATGAGGGTCAGAAGCCCAGAAGTTGAACTTCTCAACGGTGTTTCGAGGACAAAGGGTCGATGACGAAAAAAAAAAAAGTAGGTCGATTAATATACATTGTATCTTTACGACCCAGGTAGATCCAAGATGGCGCCTAATTTATCTCTCTAGATCACCAACTCAGAGACAGTGCTTATCACTGCTCTTGGTAGTCCAAATACATATTACCTACATCACTACTGAAAATAAATCGCCTCAGCTTCTTTGTATCCAAAGTTGCCGACCAGTTCCAGCTTGTATGTGAGGATATTTTGGCCAACAAACCGCAAACGACGCATCAACTACAAACTCGCGGTCAACAGCTGCAACCCCAACGGCTAACTGTATGCTATCACGTGAATACAAAACGGCTATTTAACATTTATTAAACCAAACTGACAGCGTTCCAGCGGTTAGCAGACGAAAATGTTTGTCAGAAGATAAACCAGTGGACATGTCGATTATTGGACTTCAACTCAACAGGTGGCCGAGAACAGAGGGATGGCAATTTTGCTCTGTTGGACATGTAAGTACCTTTTTTGTGCTAGCATGAGCTTAAGCTAAACTAGCTTTAGCAGGTTTTCTGCCACCCACTCGTCAAAATAACGTAAATTCAGATGTCAAGTGTGAATTTTAAATTTGCAGTTTACTTATTGGTGTTTTTATACATGAAGCGAAACTCAAGGTGTTCTGCGAAGGTATGGGCAGCCTAAAGTTTTCCCGCAAACCGAAAGCGGCGGTGATGTGGAGTGACTCCTCTCGCTGCCTGTGCTGCTCTTTGGCTGCGCTGTTTAGAGTAGCTGCAGCAGAGCAGCAGCAGAGAGGACGCACTGAGCTCAAGTTGTTAACTACACCAACACGGACCATGAGAGGACTTTACTCGTGTTTCTGGATCCACATCTTTCAGAAATTTTATTTTTTAGAATAATTTCTTCCGTGTCATCCCTCAGGCCGCTTCTTTATTAGCAGTTATTTACACGCCGTGCACGACAATGAACTTTATTTAGGACACATCGCTCCTGCAGGTAAGCTTTAAAGCTGTTATTGGTGACACTGTCATGTTTTAGTCACTTTTTGTACACATACAGTTGTTCACTAATAACCTGTCACAGGGAAAGTGTGAGTTTATAATCACATCACCTAAATCAGAGGCTATTTTAATTCTATATTTACATTAACATTAATATTATTTCTTCTTAACTGTCATATTGGTAGCTCTACTGCTGAAATTGATTATAGGACTAAAATAACAATGCTTTTTGTAAAGACCATTGCCCCATTTACATCAGTTGGATAAATCCTTGTGGTGTGTACCTGCCTTAAATAACCTTAAAAATCCAGCTGCTTCAAATTTGTGTCAAATGGGCAAAAATTAAAACTAGTGCAAGTCAAGAAAAATAAAAATGAATGGTATTTATGAAGAAGAATTACAGTTCTAATATTTCATGACCCTATAGTCATGTGGCAGATACTTTGACGGTTCTGATTTGTCCACTGGGATTTATTTACATTGTCACTGTTGTTGCTGTGTTTGAGGCTTCAGTATGAGGCTGGCTTGCCTTAAAAAGTTTGTCTTTTAACTCATTTTTATGAAACTGTTTGCTGTCTTGACATGCAGTCACTGTGGGTCTATGGTTTCTTGTCAGTCTCTTCACTTTATTGTGCAGCTCTCAGGTCCCAGAGCTCTGCTGGTTTTTATTCCAGTCATCAAATCAGGACGTAGTCAACCTTGGCCGACGGGTGAATGCAATTAACTGTATTCAAGTAGCTGGTATAGGACAGAAAAACAGTGAGCTGCTACTAAAAACTACAGGGAGCCACTTTAGCTGTTGATGGCGGAAGACCGATGGTGTGGTGTCAGTTTTCTATCCAGAAGTCTGGAGTCTACAGTGATCAAAAGGTTTTGATGTTAATTAGATGGATCAGGATGATCAATGTTGCTGTTGTAGTATTTCTATTGATTCCCCTAAGGCATCACAGCAGCCAGACTTTACACAGGGACTAACATGTTGTCAGCACTAGATGGCGATGTTGAGCAAGGCCTGTTCTGCAAGACTGTGTTGCTGTTTTCTCATACATAAAAGTACAGTGCGGAGGTTTCAAGGTATGTCTCTTTGAAGATAATATTAAGTAGTTCAGTTATTGAATATGAAGAACATTTACTTTCAATGACCTGAGCATGCAAAGCTCAAAGCCGTTGGCAGACTAAAACAAACCAGTGCAGAGCGGTAGAGAGCTGACGACTTCTTTAGAGAAGTGCCATTCAATTTCTGTATTGTGTTCTTTCCTCAAGTAGCTCCAATAACTGTGCTGCTGTAGTCAGAGAGTGTGCTGTGCAATATGTCTCAGAGACGCTTGTCACAAACGTGCCCCTCGCAATAATAGTAATGCAGCCTTTGATGACTCCTGAGCTCTTACTTTAATTAAATGTGTTTTACTTTTTAAGATGATGCTGAGTGGGTGGCTGATGTGGTGGTGGTGTTGGGTCAACAGTTCAGTTGAAGAATCATTTCAGGGCCTTAAGTTGCCAGGAGTGTGTGCAGCGAAAAGAAAGAGACAAAAAGGTTGAAAGAAATGCAAAGTATAAAAAGCTGCATTCATCTATTAAAAAAAACACACAAAATAAATGAGACTGATGGCAGGTGGCTGCAGCTTCTCTGAGTAACAGACCTGAGACTCGGGATCACAGGAGCACATGCTTGTACTGTAAGAGATGAAGCAGAGTGCATTTTTGATAAAGTATGTAAATGTTCCCCTTTTTCTTCCATGTCAGTGTAGTTTTGTTTCAGTGGAAAACAGTTATAGGATTTTAATAATCAATGGTCAAAAATGCTGAATTATGAAATGGAAAAATGCACATTTGAAAGACTTTTAGCCACATTTTACTCTTGTCTTAAGTGAGTTGGCGCCATCATTTGACCCTCTTGAACTTTTGTCCTCTACATTACCACATTTAAGGTGCTTAATGTCAGTGCTGCCAACTTCATATCATGATTCATATCAAAATTAATACTGAAATATGAAAATTAAAATGGTCAGCCATTTTTTTGAAAGAATTTCAAATATAATCTAATTATGGTTTGGACTCTCTTCATTATTTTAGCTAATTATTTGCGGCTGCAGTAACAGGAGTCATTAATTCAGAATTTGCTCTCGAGCCAGTATGAAAACAACACTTCGATTGCTCTGCGGGCCACATCTTAATAATTGTTCCCTCTACACTCCTGCACTTGTGATTTAGCCTTTTAACGGTAAACATAATTCCAATCACTGTTTAAAGAATAACAGGCTGTTGAGGGCAGAGTATTGAAGTGTGTCGCCAGCAGAAAATAGTTCCTCCAGGCTAGCTGCCACCCCATGCATACAAACCAAGCAGTCCGCAACACAAAGCCATTAAACACCTGATTTGGTAGAGAATACAGGAGGAATATTGGAGCAAGCGGTGCTCTGCCCCTCTAGGCTTTTGTCGGGCACACGGGAGGCATTTCTGTCCATGAAATTCAATGATGTATGTGCAGAGGGTTGGAAGTACTGTTTATCAGTCTACCAACACATTAAACTGGACTTTTCCATTTCCATTCCTATTTCACTCCAAAATGCTTTTCATATTCATGCTCATTTTGGAGAAAAAATAAGGCCGCCTAGAGCACGTCGGGCAATATTTGCAAAAGATAAACGATTCTGGGCACAAAAAAATGTTCTATTTCATACCCAAATGTTTTGTGAGGATTCAAAACTAAGCTGTAATGTGCTTTATGTTGATGCCATCAGTCAGTATAAGAGAGTGGCTCTCTTGTTTTTTATTTTTTATTTTATCATATCTTGAAAGGAAAATCTACATTCAGACACTGGGATTTTGTGGTTGTTTTCTTTTTATTATAAGATAATTCATGCAAAAAAAAAAACCTTTATGAGGAAAATGTAAAATCACCAAATTATTATTGCATATTTAGCAGTAACAGAGTAAAGATTTGAAATAATACTGCGGAACATCGACCTCATCTAACAGCTGATGGTGGAAAGATTGCGCTGTATGAAAGTCTGAATTGGTCTGTCCATCTCAGTCTGGACGGACCATGATCCTCAGTGGCAGCAGCAGCAGCAGCCGCTGTGTTTCCAGTCTGCTGAACTCTTTCAACTGGGAATCATCCATGTTTCAGTCAGATCAATACATGTAATCAGTGTTGATAAATGGGAGAACGCTGGCTGTTGTTTCTCAAGGACGTGTTTATATTGGAGTTCCCACTGCCTGCAGCAGGCTGCCTTTGCACAGCAAGTTTTGCCTGAACCTCTTACGCCTCATTATCTCATATAAGATGGGGGGAAAAAAACTAATAGCAAGTGGCCTCCTGGTGTAGGGTGGGGTCATAATGTTGTTTAATCTTTGGGAGTTCCTTGTTCTGAAAG